CTCTGACAGCGGCAGCCAGGTAAGCTGCCGCCGGCCCGCGGGGAGCTGCCGTCCGCGGGAGACAGGGGGCGAGACTTAAGACGACATCGTCTTAGGGGGCTCCTGAGTGTGCTGATGGGCCGGGGTGAGGGGAAACGGCGGCCCTAGGACCGAGCCCACCGGAGCCCTTTGGCGTGTGGGGGCTCTCTCGGCTGCCGTGCGCCTCTTCTAGACTCAGTGCCCTTGAGTGACACCCGCGCGGCCCAATCGTCGAGCGCCCTCCTCGAGGGGTGGGAAGCTTGTGGGATTTTCTCTTTTTCCTTTTGACAGAGGTTTCTGCTACCTTCGGTTGTAGTTGGTTGTAGTTGCCGGAGCGGTGGCTTTCCCCTCGCCTCCTCTGCTGGGTAGCCTAGGCGACTGCGTGGGTCCTCGCTCGCCTTCCCGTCTTGACCCGAGAGCCCCCGCCGCCCACTGAGGTCTGGCTGGGAGTGTGTGGCCTCCGCGTCTCTGAATCCCCTCCTCTCGGCCCCCGGCCCCCCAAGCAGGCGCCTCCTAACTTTATGTAATCGGCCACCCCTGCTCCCCAGCTCCCTTTTTTTCTTAGGGGTTGGGGAGGGGGGAGACTAAAGCATCATGTCTTGTTGCTAGGAGATACGAAAATGTCTATTATAGTCATTTTCCCATCACTTAGAAATTTTTCTTTGCATTGTATGTCTTTTTTTTTTTTTTTTGCTTTAGTTTCTCGCGTGTCTCCCTTCGCCCCCGTTAGAAGCATCATCGAATTTCTAGTAGTTTTCCATCTCAATCTCAGTGCATCCGGATGACCTCAGAAATAATAGATGGGACTGCAGATCCACCTCCCTGGAGAACTTGTGTTTTGCCGGTATAAAGGGCAGGGCGATTTGAATCCAGGGATTTCCGTTGCCAGTTGGAAGGGGCAGCCCCTGACGGTTTCAATTCCCCGTTTGTTGGGCGTTGTGAGGGGCTGAGCCACTGGGGAGAAAGCCGTTCAGTTAGGTCCGGTTCTCTGCTTTCACACTTGTCCCTGAGGCAGTCTCTCCTTGATGAGCTGATTTTCCTTTCTTTCTTTGTAAAAACCCGGCTCTCCAAAGTGGGAACCCGAATACCAGATTTTCCTCTCTTGCGCCCTCTAAACTTTTATTTTGTGAGCAGCAAAGATTTTTTTCCCTTCTTTCCTTCTTGCTCTCTTACTCTTTTTTAAGTGCAGGAATTTTTCCAAGATATGATTAACTAGTTAATAGTCAATTTGCTTCTGTCTCCCCAACTTCAGTAAAATTTTACTTGGGTTGGCACACAGTTTATTTTTAAAGAAACAATACATTCACAGAGTACAAAAGGCTGTGGAATGCACTTCCACCCCATGGGGAGGCCATCGTCAGCATTTTATTTGGCTTTTTTTTTTAATCCAGCTGTCTTTTATTAAGAACTTTACAAAAAAAATTACAAGGATACAAAACTGCTACACTGGGAATTGTATTTGACATATTAACCTATTACAGAGGTACAGCCTTTGAATGAGAATCCAGGTCAGTTCCAGACATTATGACATCTCCCAAAAGCCAGGGGCTTTTGGTTCAGGGCAGCATCTCAGGACTTGGCTCCTAGACCCTTTTGACCCTAGATAAATGGACTTGACTTCTGTCCAGCTTTGGGGGGTTTCAACAAGGGTTGAGGACAAGAGCCATACGGGGTAGTGCTTCAGAGGTATCTGAATTGTTATCTCGAACCCACCACCGAAACGTCAAGGAACTATGATTTAAAACTTGATTCTTTCATTAGCAACCTCAGAAAAAGGTACTCACTTGAGGACTGAGCAAAGGCAGAGAACCAAAAACAGCTGGTTTTTCCTTAACTCCTCGGGCTCTCCAGCCAGAGCCACTCCAGCTGTGGCCAAAGCTAATCTGCACATCCTGGTCCCTGTCCCACGGGCTGGAAACTGGTTTCATTTCATTCCAGGGCCTAGTTCGAGGGCGTTCATGGCTTCCTCAAGTCTGAGCATCCCACGCTCCTGCCGCTGTCGGTGCCACTCAGCCAAGGACTGGAGCATCCACTTGGTTTGGCTGTTTTTAATACCAAGTTAAATACTAAGCAGTTTAGTTCTAGACCTGTGTAAATCAACAAGCAGAGCTAGAAATAAATGAATAAGGTGTGTAAGAGTTCCAGTTATCACACAGCGGGATTCTGTGTAGAGTCTTGATTAGTAAACGCAGAATTCTGAATTATTACCTGAAAAAGATGATGCTACTTTAGCAAATCACCCTATTGTGGCTTTTCATCAAGGTATATAATTATGTTAGTGTATGTTCTCAAGATCGTACAACCGTCACCACTGCCATTCTAGAACTTTCATCCCCCATGAAAGAAATCCATTCCCCTTGCTACCATTCTCTCCTCCTGCCAGCCCCTGGCAACCATTCATTTATTTTCTGTCCGTATAGATTTCCCTGTGTATATATTTCAGATAAGAGGGATCGTACTGTACATTGTCTGTTGTGACTGGCTCCTTTCACTGAGCGTAATGCTTTCGTTGTTCCTCTCCACGGTAGCAGGTATCTGCCTCGTTCTTTCTCATGGCCACTAATAGTCCATCGTATGGCTATGTCCACTTTGTAACCCATTCATCCATTGGTGGGAGTGGTCTCTAAGTCGGGCCATCACTAATAATGTTGCTATCTTTAATGGAGACTTATATGAAAGAGGTCTGAGCTTCCAAAGTCAGTTGTCAGGTACAGTGGTTTTTATAGTAGTATTTTCCCCCCATTCATTTTCAGACTCGGGGAAGTCTAGGCTCTTTCACAGTTCTGAATGTTAGCACCTGAAAATGCCAGTAGACGATGAAGCATCTGAAGATGACTCGGATTCGGTTTCTTCAAACAGTGAAACAACCTTTATTTTCAAATAAGAGAGACTAACAATTTCTGTACACTATGGAAGATTATGATGTGAACACCTTACAAAAAAACTCATCTTCTGTAGAATCTGATGTTAAAAATTCTCCCCATTCTCTTGGACTGAACTTAAATATTAATAGGTAAGGATGGGATAGCTATTTTTTAATGTAACAACAAATCAAAATAATTTATTTACCTAGGTTACCTGTTTCTTCGAATAGTGTCATAGTTACTAATTTGTATTTGTTGTCTACAAACTATGGTAAGAACGTGTTCAGAGATAAGTTACCAAGTTAAGCCTAGTTTCAGTCCTTTTGTATTTTTCATTCCTCCTAGAGATACATCCTTTTGCATGGGGAACATGGTGAAAAAGAACTTGCTTTGCTATAGTTTTCATTTTGTTTTTGGTAAATTATATCTTTTACATTTTAGTCGCCTAAATATTATTTCTGTATTTTAAAATTAATGGTGCAAATAATGTTTTATATTGCAGAAGCACCTCAGCAGTCTGGAAAGTAGCAATTAAAGTTGCAGATCAGGAAGCAAAAATCAGATTGAGCAGACGGAATAGTCCACAGGATAGATGTTATCAGACAACACCTTTTATGGATTTTATTTTTAAGCTATCCCATGATTGGTTGTTTTCTTGCTTTGGTCTGTAAGTCAGAGGGTATATGCATTTGCTGCAGAGGGAGAGGGAGAAAATACCTTGCAGTGGAGGTGGCCACATCACAATCCCTTGTCTTCCATTTTTCTGCCACGTTAGGATTTGGGACACGCGCGCACACACAAACACACACAGAGCATATTTTTCAGACTCCTGGGCCTGGGATTTGAATGCACAGTAAGCTATGTGGGAGTCAGTTCCCTTAACCACTAGGCCGCAGGACCAGCCCCAGTTGGTTGTTTTTGTGTCAGAGTCTATTACTCCCAATTTGCATATAGTCTGGCCAGCTCAATTTGTTTGTTTTTTTTAAGAGTTGTTTATGGGGCCAGCCGATGGTGTAGTGTTTATGTCACTGGACTCCCACATGGCCTGCTGTGGTTTGAATCCTAGATTGGGTAGCTCAAAACTCATGTGGGACACGTGTGCGTGCGTGCCCAGGGTCCTGGGAGGAGAATGGAGGAGACGGGATTGCAGTGTGGCCATCCCCCCGAGATAATTTCTCACTTTTCTTCCCACTTGTCTGTCTCTCAGGTGAGCACATGCGCTCTAAGGCAAAAACCTCTACAAAAAAAAATTACTTAATTTTATTACTATTATTTTTATAAATTTGCTCTAGGGTATGTGTGCTCACCAGAGAGAGACAGAGAGAGAGGAAGTGAGAAAGCAAGCCGCCAGGTCTGGGACTCCAACCAGGCGGACCATGTGGGAGTTCAGCACCTAACCGTCATGCTGGGCTGGCCCTGGCAGGCATGATCCTTGTGGTTCAGAATGCACAGTAGCCTGGAATCCACAGGTAGCCAGGACCGTCAGGAAGGAGCTGGACTAGAAAGCAGCCACGCGGAGGCTGGCATCCACATGGGGGCACATCGCTTTAAACACGGGGAAACCGTGTGTTAGGAGTACATGAATTACTTTCAGCCTTCGCTTTCTGCCCTCTTCTGAAGGAAGCGAAGACATAGCACTGGAGTATAACATCAGAAGAGAGAGCGTAAGTTAAAGTAGCATCACAGGAAATTTTCAAAAGCACAAGACATGGTGGGATCAGCAGTTGGCGTAATGACTGTTGCTGGACTCCCATGTAGTCGACCGCGGTTCGTATCCCGGACCCAGTGGATTAAACTCATACTGGGCACGTGTGTGTGTGTGTGTGTGTGTGTGCGTGCGCCCAAGATCCCAAGAGGAGAATGGAGGAGAAGGGATTGTGGCGTGGCCATCCCCCCTGGGAGATGATTTCTCGCTTTCTGTCTCTCTGTCTCTGTCTTTCTGGCGAGCACACGCGCCCTACAGCAAAAGCCTCTCAAAAAAAAGCACAAGTCGTGGTCCAGAAGAGAAGTGGGTGGCACTGCTTGCTCACTGAAAGCTGGCCACGCATTTTGTTTCCTGTCTCCGGGGCCCCTTTGAAGTCCACTTCTAGAAGAAATTGCTGTTTGATCTGCCTGAAGAAACCGAAATGCGCCTGTCTGACGAGAACTACGCAGCCGAGCTTGTCTCTGGACTCGCCACGTTTAGGCTCCCCTGCGCACGACATGTTATGCTCTCCTTTACTTTGAAATTTTAGTAGTATTTTCCCTATTTAAAAGCTATTTAATTTTATTTTTAAAATTTACTATAGGGCATGTGTGCTCACCAGAGAGACGGGTGGGGGTGGGGAGAGAGAAAGTAAGCTGCCAGGTCTGGGACTCGAATCACAGTTGGCTGTGTGGGAGCCCAACACCTTAGCCACTATACTACCTGCTGGCCTCCTATTTTCCCTAGTTTTTTTGGAGAGGTTTTCACTATAGGCCGTGTGCGTATGCTCGCCTGAAAGACAGAGAGGCAGACAGAAAGCAAGAAATCATTCTCCTCTCGGGATCTTAGGCACGCACGCACATGCGCCCAGCGTGAGTTTAAGCCACCGGGTCTGGGACTCGAATTGCAGTCGACTACTTGGGAGTCCAGCGATATAACCATTACGCATCTGCGGGTCCCATATTTTCTCTATTCTTAACTCTATTATTTTAGTATTACTTTCATTGATGTCCTCTCTTTTTTTTAATTGCAAGCTCTTTGTGAAAGCAAGGAATGTATCAATAAATAATTTGGCGACTGGATTTTAAACACATTTTAACATCCTGAGTTATGTTTTGTGTGTTTATAAAATAAATCTGAAATCAATGCACCCGAAGTTTGGAAAAGCAGTCCTGGAAAAAATCGGAGCTGTCTTGCACACAGCAGGCAAAGTCCTCCTGTCTGCCGCTCTGCTGCTAGGAGGCGCAGCTGCTATTCAGGGAGTGCAGAGATAAGCGGCAGCCTATTACACCAAATTAGGGCTCCAGTTACCCTGACACCTGGGAGGCTGGGCAGAGGAAGCACCCCACCGCACAATGAAGAGCTGTTCTTAAATGCAGGGAAAGAATCCTCTGGAATCTTTTAGATCTGAGAAGTTGAGAGCGTTTCCTATTCTCACTTAGCACAAACTTTATTTTCTGCTGGTACTTTGGCGTGTTCTTTCCCTCCTGGAGAAGACTCTCCCTTGGGTTTTTTCGGAAATAAAGTGCTGTCTGTCTTTTTATTCCTATTTTCCTTTTGTGGACAAACTTGTAACCAGATTTTCAACAAATGAGATGCCATTAGAAGGATTAAGTATCAGTGGTTTTGTACTGCTCTGCTAAATCTTGAACTGCTGAATTATTCAACACCTTGATAGAATGAAGAAAACCATTTGAATTATTTATGTTTCAACAGAAGTAGTCCCCACCTTAGTACAAATGGGGTATCCTCTTCCTCAGGGAAGACCAGACCATCTGTAATTCGAGGTACAGTTGAAGTCCTAACTTCTTTAATGCAAGAGCTTCAAAACAGTGGAAAGACTGATTCGGAACTTTGGAAAAACTGTGAGGTATCTAGTTTTGTTTTATTTTTGGAATTTTGAACTAATTGTATTTCAGTGTACCTCTATTCAACTCTAAATGACTAAAGTATGTTCTGAAGAGCATGATATTTAACATTATGGTCAGGTATATTGTCGCAGAGTGCTACTAAGTGGATGAGAAGACGTGTTCCAAAGTATTTTTTAACTATGTTAGTGATTAGACTTAATAATTGGTATATTACATGGGACTAAAATATTTCTGTGCAGAGGAGAGAATCCCGAAATTGTTAAAATTGTTACTAATTCTAATGTTTTAAGTAATGCATAGGGGATTATCATCATTTTGGAAAGCTTAAGTCCACTTTAAAATCTTTTGAATGTTCTAGTTATAAATCAGGGCTTCTATTACCTGCATTACCACACGCAGCTGTGATACGTTGTGTTATATTGTCTGTAGGTCAGTGGTTCTTTCTTTGCCCATAAGTTAAATGATAAAGATTTAACAGTGAGAAGAATGCTTTTGTATAAATTCTGTTTCATGGAATAATACTCAAGATAGACTTTGTAAGGCTACACTTGATATCACATTGTACAAAGGTACAGAATACTGTTGAACTATTCTCAGCATTAGATTTTCTTTAAATACTGATTAGACTTTTAGAACCATAGCTTTGTGTTATCTTCAGAATGCAGAGTAAGTGGAATGAAAGATTACCTGGTTTAAGAATTTGGTAGCAGCTACACCAGGTGTAATTACTTATCATCCATTATTAAAGTGACAATGATCACTGAGTATTATGGCAAACTTAAAATAATTGTTTTTGGTTTTTACACCTTTTATGTTTTTTACCATGTAATGATCAGTATATGCTAGTGCGAAAGACCTGTAAAATACCATTGTAAAATGATACAATTAAAAATGGAGTGTTTTAGTAATGTTCCCCAATGTCCATAATCATGACCTTGTGACATCTGAACTAACATGCTTTAAGACAAGTGAGGTATTGCCAACGTAACGTTTAACTCCTGCAAATTTGTTAACAGAAATTGTTACTGTTAATACTTTGAAATCACTATCTTAAGTCAGAATTGGGACGTAATTGTGAATTTAAGATGGAGGGTTTTATAAGCCAGAACCACCTAGTTACGTCCACCTTGTATAGTTGAACCTATTTTCTTCTGCACTTTCTTCTTCTCGTGTGACATGACAAGTCACTATTTTTAGCATGTTTAGTGAAAACTGACTACCTAATTTAAAATATATATGTATTTTAAGAATTATTAACTTAATTAATTATTAGTATTCGATTTGACCAGAGAAAGAAAGAAAGAGAGAAAAAGCAAGCCACGTGTCTGGTACTTGAACCGTGGTTGGCCTGTGGAAGTCCAGTTTCCCAACCACCGTGCCACCTGCTTGTTCCTTGACTACCTCTTTTTTTTTTTTTTTTGAGAGAGAGAGATTTTCGCCATAGGGCGTGTGCGCTCGTCAGACAGACAGAGACATAGAGACAGAAAGCGAGAAATCACCCCCCAGGGGGGTGGTCACGCTGCAATCCCTTCTCCTCCATTCTCCTCTTGGGATCTTGGACACGTACGCACATGCGCCCGGCGTGAGTTTTAAGCCACTGGGTCCGGGACTCGAACCGCGGTCGACTACGTGGGAGTCCAGCGACATAGCCATTACGCTAACTGCTGGTTCCCAACTACCTCATTTTTGTAATGTAGTCATGGCGTTGATTATTCAGTGAAGAGCTGCTTAAAATACTTACCGCTTTGGCAGAGAATGAAATGTACTTCTGGCCATTTCAGTGAAATGTCTTGAATTTATTTAGTGTGTTTGTAGCATATGAAACAAACAAAACAAAACCCTCTGATGCTTTAGTGTTGCGTTGTAGGGAGAATGAAAGGAGTAAGGGTCATGCCAGTCTTAGTGTGCCTTTTTTCTTGAAATTTCATGATTTTACCTCCCTTTCGAGGTCACGTTTTCCTCATTGCAGCTACTTGTGAGGGAATAATCTACTTTATTAAAATACAAGACCTTCTGTAGTCTGAGCAGCTGAGAGCTCCAGAGATCTTCAGATCTAATTTGTTTAGAATTCCTTTATGAAACTCGTCTGCTGTAATTCTTAAGTTTATCACTGCTTAGGCTTGGGAAGGTTATATATTTTGATTCAATCAAAAGACTCTTTTAACATTTTGCATAGATATACTTTAATATAGTCATAAGTTCTTGGTAATATTTCTGTGATTGTAAGACAAATTTAAAGCACCCCATTAATTTAACTATTCATTTTAGCATTTTAATGATTTAACCTTGCTAATTATGTAGACCATAGTTTCGGTTGTAAGATAATTATTGTAATATCTACTATTTATTGTCTGTGACAGGTGGTACAGTAGACACTCTTTGTCAGTAACACTCAAATGAATTCAGAGCCCTCTTTTTTTTTTTTTTTCTTTTTTTTTCATATTTCTGCCAGGGGATGCATGTGTTCTCAGGAAAAAGAGAGAAAGAAAGTTAAAAGGCATCCCTCATGGGAGATGGTCATGCCACAATTCCCTCTCCATATATCCTACCTTTTGAGATTTTTGGACATGCACATGCCTGTCATGTTTGTCAAGCTACTGGGTATGGGTCTCGAACCACACAGTTGGCCATGTGGGATCGAGCTACCTTAACCACCATGCCATGGACTAGGCTACAGAGCCCTGTTTTGTTTTTTTGGGGGTGTTTTTAGAGAGGTTTTTGCTATTGGGCACGTGTGCTCACCAGAAAGACAGAGAGAGACAGAGAGACAGAAAGTGTCCGCAGGGGACATGGTCACACTGCAATTCCTTCTCCTCCTTTCTCCTCTCGGAATCTTGGGCACGCACATGCGCCTGGCATGAGTTTAAGCCACCGGGTCCGGGACTTGAACCATGGTTGGCAACATGGGAGTTCAGCAATATAGCCATTACACCAACTGCTTGTCTCCAGAACCCTGTTTTTATTACAGCCATTTTTTTTGTTATGTGGTAGTCTATCATTATTATAATTTAATTTTATCTGAATAATGACTTTATCAGGTTAAGAATCACTCTTTTTTTAAAAAAAAAGAATTATTTTATCAACTAATTTTATCAGAGAGGGACAGAGAGAGAGGGAGAGAGAGAAAGCAAGCTGCCAGGTCCAGGACTCGAACCGCAGTTGGCCATGTGGGAGTCCAGTGCCCTTAACCACTATGCCACTGACTGGCCCCAAGAATCACCCTTAAAATATTGCTTAATTTAGTATGACCTAAGAAAACTGATTTCTTAGAATCAGCTTGTTTATTTTTGTTTTGTTTAATATAAAATACTTGATAGCGTAGCTAAGCGAGAAGATAAAGAACTTAATTTGCTCTGGCCTACCTGGCTCTGAAGTTAGTTGATTCAGAGTTAATCTTTCCTGTCAGTATTGTCATATTTCATTTTAAAGGCTTTATTTTCTCAAATGTAGAAGTTGTCTCGTTTTATTTTTGAGTTGTTTTTTGTTTGTTTGTTTGTTTGTTTTTTGCCCTCTTTTGCCTCTGACTGCTAGATAGGTTTTAATTCTATCAGACTTCAGATTTTAAATTTAAAAAATAACAACTGGTTTCAACATTTTCTTGAAAGGCTTCCGGATTGTCTCAGTCTAACAAGATTCACCTTGAAGCGTGCATTTTTGTACACTCACTGAGTGGCCGCCTTGGCACCGAGTTCTGAATACTGGAGCTAGAGGGGGACAGGGGCAGGGACAGACAAGATAACAAAGGGAACAAATGAAGTTCTCTCTGAAGGGGGAATTGCTTCGAAGGAACAGAACAGGATAACAGGAAAGAGAGGAGCCGTTAGGTTGGTTGAGAGGTGACAATTAGCTTGAAATTGCAGGATGGGAAGATGCCAGCCCTGCTGAGAACTGAGGAGAGCGTTTTCCAGGCGGAGGACGGTGAGCACCGAGCTGGTGAGGTGGGAAACAATTGTGGCAGGTTCGAGGAACAGGAGGAGGCCAGGAAGGCTGGGGTGTAGCAGACGGGTGGAGGAGGGCGGGATGGGGCTGGCTGGAGTGCAGGAGCGGGTAGTGCAGGGCCGGTGAGGCAGTGGGCTGGGGAGACATGGAAGGGTTTTAGACAGCGAAGCTAGTTCTTACAGTAGCTCTGCAGTGCTTTGAAACACCTTCATATCTGACATGAAAAGGGTCTTTTACTTGAAGAATGATTAATTTAGGGACTAACTCATAACACCAGATAATTTGTTTGGGGTGTGGAGTCCTTTTTCTGGGTACAGGTCAGTGTTTAGGAAAGTCGTTAGCTGTTGTGGGGACTCATGACAAACACAAAGTGCATCTGCTAGTTCCTGATCAAGCAGAAGTCGTACTGATGACAGCAAGTCAGGGTGTCATTTGAAAATAAGGTTTACCTGGTCTTCAGGCTGCAGAAGAAAGGTGTGGCCAGACCTGTATCCTTGTAGTTTTGCATAAAGTGTATCAGCATGACTATTTAATGTGACTTAGAAAGTTTACATTACAAAATAATTTAAGAGGGGCCGGCAGGTGGCGTGGTGGTTAGAGGCACTAGACTTCTACGTGGGCAATCACAGTTCGAGTCTTAGACCTGGTGGTGGCTTGCTTTCTTACTTTCTCTCTCTTTCTCTGTCTCTCTCTGATTAAACTGGAAAATAATCATAATAAATAAAGTTAAATAATTCTTAAAGTAATTGAAGAAGAGAGACCCTTTCTCGCCAGAGGACTTTTTCTGTGAAATACTGAAACAATGATCTTTAACTAAGCTATTTTATAATTTAATAGGCCAGGTGGTTACAGCTCTTCACGCTGGTGGAGAAACAATGCCAAGAACAAATAGTTGCCCAGCAAGAACAGTTCCACAACCAAATTCAAGTAAGTCGTCATTTATATTGATTTTTTTTGTTGGAGAGGTTTTTGCTATAGGGCGTGTGCGCTCGCCAGAAAGACAGAAAGAGACAGAGATAGAAAGCGAGAAATCACCCCCCAGGGGGATGGCCACACCGCAATCCCTTCTCCTCTCAGGATCTTGGGCACGCACGCACACGCGCCCAGCGTGAGTTTAAGCCACCAGGTCTGGGACTAGAACCATGGTCAACTACATGGGAATCCAGCGACATAGCCATTATGCGAACTGCTGGTCCCCTGATTTTTAAAATCTCTGATATTTGCAGAAAAACCAGTTAATACTTTATATCCACTTGGCTTATAAATGAAAGGTAAAGCATACTGACCTTTCTTTATCGTCAGTGGGCATGTGTACCTGCGTTCCCTCTGACTGTCTCTGATGAGCGCACGCGCCCTCTAGACATGCGTGGGGGTGGCGCGTGGTCATGCTGCGCTTCCTTCTCCACTGCTGTGTCCTGTTGCATTTTGGGGCACATGTGCCCATGGGCCTGCTGTGTTTTGAGCTGCCAGGGCCAGGACTTGAACCATGGTTGGCCATGTGGCATCTGACTCCCTTAACTGCTAGGTTACAGGATTGGCCCAATAAAGCATAATATTATCATTAAAATAATATTGTATTTTGAAACAGTATTTTTACGACGTTTATAAAAATGTGATGTTTAGGGGCCGGCAGGTGGCATGGTGGTTAAAGATGCTGGACTCACACGTGGCCAACTGTGGTTCGAGTTCTGGACCTGGCAGCTTGCTTTCTAACTCCTCCTCTTCTCTCTCACTCTGTCCCTTTTGGTCAAATTAAATAAATAAATAAAATAGTTCTTCAAAAAAAGTGATGTTTAAACTTTCTTACCGAAATTTATAACGTTTTATTTCCAGCGTATACAGGAGGAGATAAAAAACTTAGTCAAATTACAGACCAGTAATGCTTCCTGGGCTTCCTGTGATAGAAGATTTTCAAGCAAGCAAAGATCTTCAGAAAGTCAAATGGGTTTTTTTTCTGAAAACAGCAAGAGAAATGAATCTGTTGTCAGTTACCCTACGTCTAAGGAACCTGAAATGCAGCAAGACTCGTCCACATCACAGCCAGACTGCAACGTGGACAGTAGCTCAGTGAGCAGTGGGTATGGCACCTTCTGTGTCTCAGAACTGAATACCTACCGATCCAAAGACCCTGCAGAGTTCATGGAGCCCACAGATGTTTCCAGGGGACAGTGTGCGGGACCTGTAGGGCAGGCAGGTCCACGTGGAGACAGCACAGAAACCCAGAGTGTGTGTAAGCAGAGTACTGGGGAGTTTCGTGCCTCCATCAAGGAAGATCTTTCTGTTTTTCCTGGTGAATTCGAACATCATTTTCTTGGTGGAAATAAGATTTCCGAAGTATACAGCGGAAAAACAAATCAGTAAGTAAAATTTTTCCATCATTTGGAGGAAATTTTATTGGTTTATTATATTTAGAATCTAGTAAATAAAATTCTTTTTAGTTGGACTATAATAGAGATGTATTTGAACATTCATCAGAATTTAACATTAAAGTCAGTCTTTTATTTGTTGCCTGGGGAAAATTCAAATAAAGTACTGTCTATACACACTCACACACTTTATAAAGTTTATTCACTTATTTCTGCCATGAGAGAGACAGACAGGCATTCCACTCTGGGTCCCTGTGATAAGCCAGCTTAGGTCATGGGCGCGTTCACACCCTTCCCAGTGTGTGCAGGGCAGTCCTGGGACGTGAGTCCAGGACCTGTGATGTGGGTCCGTTGTCCCCTGGCCCCGCATTACACATTGGTGACGTCTGACTTTCTTCGCGTTTGCAGTGTTAGACAGCTGCCGAGCTCTCGGAGTGGGAAGCCTTGCCAGAAGTCCTTTGTGCACTGTAGGCTTGCTTCCCGTGAGAGTGCAGGGCTGTATCCATGGTGGAATGCATCACACATGTTCATGTCCTTTGAAACCCAAGACTATATACAAGTATCTTCAGTTTTATGTTTTTTAAATGTATAAAGAATTTTTGTTAAGTTTAATGTATTTTTAAAAAAGAATGATTTATTTAGTTAGCTTATTCATTTATTTATTTTAATTTGACCAGAGACACAGAGAGGGAGAGAAAGTGAGAAAGCAAGCCACCAGGTCTGGTACTGAAACCATGATTAGCCATGTGGGAGTGTCCAGCGCCTTAACCACCATGCCACCTGCTGGTCCCAAGTTTAATGTATTTTGATTGACTTGAGACTTTTTGGTAAAGAAAACTATGGCTGAACATAAAACAAATAATCTTTTAAAAAGTTTGTGGTTTACCCTAGTATTTTAGTTTTCTATCTCTGAATTTTGTCATTCATTCATTCTTTTTTTTTTTTCCCAGAAATTTTTGCTATAGGACACATACACTCGCTGAAAAGACAGAGAGACAGCGAGAAATGACCCACCTGGGCCATGGCCACGCCACAATTCCTTTCCCCCACTCTCCTCTCAGGATCTTGGGCACACACGCACTTATGCCCAGTGTGAGTTTAAGCCACTGGGTCCAGGACTCGAACCATGGTCAACTACATGGGAGTTCAGCAACATAGCCATTACGCCAACTGCTGGTCCCAGTAAATATTTTTTAAAAAGAAAAACAACTTGAACCATTTCCCACTGAGTGTCTACGGGCATTGAGCATTTAAGAAGGCACTTTGGTCACAACTTGAACATTTCCCACTGAGTGTCTACGGGCATTGAGCATTTAAGAAGGCACTTTGGTCTTTTCTTCGTAAACAGTAAATCCATAACATCATGGGCACAAAAGCTGAAGCAGAGCCAACCCAAGAGGGCCCAGCTAGAAGACGGGTGTTCGAGATCTAAGCAAGGAGATGAGCAAAGCCAGAAGCCACCAGTGGGGAAGGTAGGGTGAGTGACTTCCTCTGGCACCCTCACTGCTGATAATTACAGTGGGTTTACTGCCCACATGTCAGCGTGATCATTTTGCCTTTTATTTTGTGTTCATTTGTTTATTTGTAAATTTTTTTAAAAGGATAACTTTATTTATTCATTTGTTTATTTCAGTTTGACTGGGGGGGGGGAGAAAGAGAGAGCGCGCTTGAGCAAGCGAGCCACCAGGTCCGGGACGCAAGCCGTGGTCAGCCATGTGGGAATCCAGCACCCCCAACCACCACGCCACCTGCCAGCCCCATATTTGTAAATATTATTTTTGGTTTCTCAAAAGATGGGAAATGATTTTCTGTGACTATTGCTGCTTTAAAAAAAAAAAATTATTTAAATTTGACCAGAGAGGGGCAGAGAGAGAGAGAGAGAGAGAAAGAGAGAAAGCCACCAGGTCCGGGATTCGAACTGCAGTCAGTCATGTGGCAGTCCAGTGCCCTTAACCACCACTCTGCCTGCCGGTCCCGAGTATTGCTTCTTTAGTATTCTTGGCATCAAAGTTAATAAGGGATAAAATATTATAAAAAAAGAATCTTTTGCAAGGTTCATGTTTTCCTTTGTACTGTAAATGTTTACATTTACCCAGAGTAACCCATTTAAATGTTTTTTAAAAAATTCCTTCAAATAATTTGTGTTACTGCTTAGTTGTAAGAAGCAGGTACTGCATGTGTCAGGCAGTACCTTAAGGCACATTTATTTTTAGGAGGCTGGCAGGTGACATGGTGGTTAAAAGTGCTAGATTCCTCATGGCTGGCCGCAGTCTGAGTCTCGAACCTGGTGGCTTGCTTATTCGCTTTCCCTTTCTCTCTCTCTCTCTGTCTCTTTCTGGTCAAATTATAAAATAATGATAACAAATGGAATTAAAGAAATAAATAATTCTTGGGAACCAGCAGTTAGCGTGATGGCTATGTCGCTGGACTCCCACATAGTCGACCGTGATTCGCGTCCTGGACCTGGTGGCTTAAAACTCACGCCAGGCGCGTGTGCGTGCGTGCCCAGGATCCCGAGAGAATGGAGGAGAAGGGATTGCGGCGTGGCCATCCCCCCTGGGCGGTGATTTCTCGCTTTCTGTCTCTCTGCCTCTCTCTGTCTGTCTGGCGAGCGCACGAGCCCTATAGTGAAAACCTCTCCAAAAAAAAAAAAAGAAAGAATTCTTTAAAAATACATTTATTTTAAAAAGTTGACTTTTTAATAGAATCATTATTATCTTTCAACTTTATCTGTTTATTTAAATTTGACCAGAGAGGGGCAGAACATGTGAGAGAGAGGCATGGGAGAAGTGAGAAAGCAAGCTGTCAGGTTCCGGGTTCGAACCACAGTTGACCATGTGAGAGTCCAGAGCCCTTAACCACCGTGCCACCTGCCGGCTGCAGACGTTGACATTTTTACATTCTGAACTCATAGCCCAAATTGTAAATGCCGAGATTAAATGCCAAAATTCTGTGTGGACCCTTTGCCGGCTGAGCAGCTGCTCTAATGAAACGGTTACACTGGGTAAGTTTCAATACCTTGTAACCCTTACTGGCCTAAGTTATCACAGAATATCACTGTTTAATGTAATAAATTCAGTTTGCAAAATCAGGTCTCTACAAATCTAATGCCTCTAGAAACTGCCATGTCCTGGTCATTGTAAACACAGGCTTTTCGTCATCCTGTCAAGGTCTGTTAAAGAGGTCCTAAGAACGATCCTCAGCCTTGGGGCCAGCAGGTGGCGTGGGGATTAAGGTTGCAGGACCTCCCGCATGGCCAACCACAGTGCGGTGCAGGTCCCAGACCTGGCAGCTTGCCCTCTCTCTCTCTCTCTCTCTCTCTCCATCCCCTTTCTGGTCAAATTAAAATAAGTAAATAAATAAATAAAGGTAAATAAAACCTTAAAAAAGAAAGAAAGAAAGCTCCTCAGCCTCCTGTAGCACTTTGTTTGGTTTTAGTTTTACAGTAAGGTTGCATGAGCTCATGGGGTGGGATAGGGAGCAAGGAGGTGAGAAATGACCCTCCTCGGGGGCTGGCCATGCTGCAGTCTCGTCTCCTCCAGTCCCCTCGCAGGGTTTTGGGCACACACACACACACAGACACACACATGCACCCAGCATTTTTTTTTTTTGTATTTTTTAAAAGAATTATTTAATTTTATTTATTCATTCAATTTTTTTTGATAAGTTTTTTTATTTGCTATAGGGTGTGTGGGCTCGCCAGAAAGACAGAGAGACAAAGAGACAGAAAGTGAGAAATCCCCCCCCGGGGGGATGGCCTTCCCGCAATCCCTTCTCCTCCATTCTCCTCTTGGGATCTTGGGCACTCACGCACATGTGCCCGACAAGAGTTTAAGCCACTGGGTTTGGGACTCGAACCACGGTCGACTACATGGGAGTCCATAGCCATGACGCTAACTGCTGGTCCCCAATTATTAATTTTTTTAATTTGACCAGAGAGAGACACAGAGAGAGAAAGAGAGGGAAAGTGAGATAGCAAGCCACCAGGTCCGGGACTCAAACCATGGTCAGCCATGTGGGAGTGTCCAGCACGTTAACCACCATTCCACCTGCTGGTTCCCCCCAACTTATTTTTCAAGCAGCCAGCTCAAGGACTTGAACCACAGAGTTGGCCATGTGAGATGTGGCCACCTTTACCACCACGCTACCGGCTGGCCTTCTACAGCACTCTAATTCTCTTTTCTTTCTGTAAATTTTCTTTCTTTAACTCATGATATGTAGATTTGTGTTGAGGGAAGTGGAGGTGGTCGAAGCTGCGTGACCCCATGCTTCTGTGGCCTTCCAGTCCCTGAGTACCACAGTGGTGGCTATGTTTCGGGCCTGGTATGACAGCAGGGAGTTTTTGGAGACTGCGGTACAGCATGTGTGTGTTTGAGTAGATTGGCAGAAGTGGAGAATGTTTTCATTCATCATCGTTTTCTTTTTCTTTAAGAATTATTTATTTAATTTTTATTTATTTATCCATTTATGTTAATTTAACCAAAGAGAGAGAGAGAGAGAGAGAGAGAGAAAGTGAGAAAGCAAGCCACCAGGTCCAGGACTTGAACCGTGGTCAGCCATGTGGGAATGTCCAGCGCCTTAACCACCACACCACCTGCTGGTCTCCATCATAGTTTTCTTGTTTATTTCATAAGGGAGAGAGACCGAGAAAGAAGGCATTCTGATCAGGGCTCTAGCCCTGTGACCAACCCCCAGCCAGCCTCAGATCCTGGCCCACATGGGCCTTGTGTACCCAGGGAGGCCTTTAGACCCGAGCTGGGCACCTTTGTCTGGGTGGGCCTCACAGAGCATGGTGTTTTACTGCTGCTCCACTGTGTGGCCCTGTTTTCATCTTACCAGGTTTAAGACAGCTCTGCTGGGGAGTCTTTTCTACTTCTGATAAACTTTGAGTTTGTGCTTTTATACAAGGAGTCTTTAAAACGTTTATGGAAATGTGTAGTATTAAAAAAAAAAACAACTATGCACCGATTTAAAAATTTGTTTTGCAAGGAACTAAGTCAGTGCTTCTAACTCTGTCCCCGAACGCCCTGACGTCCGGTGCCAAGTGGCTGTCTTTGTGACTGTGGTTCGGTACGTAGTTGGTGCAGCCTGAGTTCCGCTGTGCTGTCCAGGGCGTCACCAGAGGAGACGGGACAGCCGCTTCTCCTGGCCACCGGTCCCAGGCGCTCTACTTCCCCGGGGTACGGCATGGCCTCTCCGGGGGTGCAGCAGCACCACGGGGATTCTGATGTGTCGTCAGGTGTCGGACCTGCTGGTCTCACCCGACTGCTCCTCTGTTCCGTGGAGAGGCAGCCCCACCGCCCAGCGACCCTGCGCGAGGCCCGAGAAGGGCCCTCGTCGCCGTGTCCTCTGGCCTGGCGTCAGCGTCCGCAGGGCAGAGGGGGCAGCTGGGAGGGCATGTCTCGGAGTCTGTCTTTCCCTTCCATCAGCTCTGGGCCAACTCCATTTCCCCCTTTGTAAGTGAGTGAGATAGCCGGTCTGAAATCGTGAAGAGAAACCAAGTTTTTGCCTTTCCTCCGCCGTAAACAGCTTCGGGCTGATGGTTGGCGAGTTGGAGACGCCACACCTGAAACGTGGACTTACCCGCAGAGTTCTGAGTTCTCAGAGCTGGGGAAGCCTACTTAGGGGTGGCAGGTGCCTGCACCCCCAGCTAGTCAGGAGGCTCGTGATGTAGCCAGAATCGGGCCTGCCTTTCTTTCTTTTAAAGGCACTTTCCCCTTCATGTAACCCTTCCCTACTCCGATTGTTCCGTTCCGCTCTCGTGTGAGGAGTGCTCATGGACAGAACCCCCTTCCGCCGACTGCCCACACTCGCAGCTCTGTGCAGTAGCTCCTTCGTGGGGCATCGTGAGGTTGGGGACAGTTTAGTGAAAGGGAGTTCCAAAGCCCCAGCTACCCTCGCTGCCGTAGTCCTGGGCGGCAGCCAGGCGGACGTGGCTCGTGCAGGCCGAGGACCTCCCACGGGCTACCAGGTGCTGCGTGGCGCCGGTGCCGGCCTCGGCTCGCGTCTCGGGGCCCAGTTCGCAGTTCGCACTGCGGGGCTTGTCATTGACCAGCCCCTCGGTCCTCGGGGAAAGCCGGCGTGTCCGTCAGTGGATGCTGTCTGCCTGGAAGGGGCAGCAGGCTGCTGTGTAAACGGGTGAGTCCCCTCAAGCTCACCCTCATGTGAGTGTGAGTGTAAGTGCGAGAAAGTGAGCCTCAGTGAGTGCTGGTGCACTCAGTTCTGCCTGTCCGACCCGGGACTAGGACAGAGTGTTCTTTTGGGGATCATTTGACTTAGCTCGCTCCAGTCGCCGGCTCCTGTGCGTGTCAGTACCGCAGCCGCTTGAACAGGGGAGACTTTCAGACGAGACCAGAGGCGCTTAGGGCTCTCCCAGAAAGGGGCTGGGTAGGCTGAGTGGTGCCTGTGTGGCTGACGGATGGGTCCCCTTCTCTCTGGGACTCCTCCTGTCGCAGTGGGCTCATGGACGGTTGTTAGCAAATCCAGCTTAAGCACTGTTGGACAGGGGTCGAAAGCTTGGTAGAACCGATAAGAAAATTCCCGCAGAAATATTCCTGCCAGCCTGCCATGTGCAACAGGCTCCTTGTGGTCATGTCAAATATGATTTGTGTTAGCTCATGATAAAAGGGCATTTTTAGCCTCTTCTGGAACTAGTCAGCAGTCCTTTGTGTATACGGAGTGGTGTGCTGTTGAAGGTCCATGTGGCGGTGGTGGTCAGAGTTAAGGGGACGTGTTAACATTATCATCGCAGTGAGGAAAACGGGTTGTTACGGCTTTTATGTTAAGCTTTGTACTAAATGACTTCAGTTCTGAGCCCCTCGGATTTCTTTTGGAAGTGCATGGCCAATCACGAGCACATTTGAGGCCTGAATTCGTCCCCCAGTTTTCGCCTCCACCTTCACAGAGGACCGAAATAAACTAGCAGGTCACAGGGGGAAAGAAGCCCTCCCCTCGGTGTTCCTGTACTGTGGCACACTGTCCTGGATCCTCTGCTCCTGGTGTGGCCCCGGCCCGGCCTGCCCAACGGCCTGCCTCGTGGCCCTCAGCCGATGGTCTCCTCTGCTCCCTTGCAGCCTGACTTCGCTGCCGCACTCCCTCGTGCTTTTCACCTCAGCAAACCGGATGGAAGTCCGAGCTCGTGGGTGTCTGATTCAGGAACAGGTACGCACCCTGCAGTTTTAAAGATTTTTTACGAAAAACAATTCGTATTTCTTACAGGATGTCAACATGTATGAGGGTCATTCAAAAGTTATGAGAAATGCGTATTATGAAAAAACTATACATGATTTCAAACTTTTGGCACCAAAGCAAACTCATGCCCTGACTCACCCCTTCCACGCTTTCGAAGCCCCTGGCGCAGCATATCGTGTGGCTCTGTGCGTGGGTTACATGTCACAGCGCCCTCTGGGAGCTTCTGGCCTTAAGCCGACTGGCAAGTCCTGTGAAGAGAGAAGGAGGAGGGGTCTTTTATTTCAAGCAGCAGCTACAACCGTCTCAGCCCATTCAGGTGCCTCCTCATGGGCTGGACTCAGACCCTCAGAGCTGCTCTTTACTCCCTTCCCCAGGGACTTATTCTAGTTGTCTTTCCCTGTGCCGAACCCTGCCTCAGGCTCCGCGGCTGCTGAGCTCCCAGGAGTGTGCCCATGGCTGGGCTTTGGGTGGACTTGGAGCCGACCCTGGCCTCCTGTGTGGTCTCGGGCTATGGAGCCTGGCGTTTCTCCACCCCAGCTGTGTCTGGTCTGGTCCTGCTTTATATAACATTTCCCTCACAGTCCTCATCTAGTTGCTCAGGATGAATTAGCTTGAACCCCAGCCACTTCTCCCCACTCCACTGCAGCTACCCTCATCTGTCAGTGGGGAGCTGCTGCACTTGCCCCACCAGCCCCACCAGCCCCTGCCTGCACCAGTGCCTGCACCAGTGCCTGCACCAGTGCCTGCAGTCTGTTCTTGACACAGTAGCCAAAGGGCCCTTCTGACGGGTAACTGAGATCCCGGGACTCCTGCTCGGTACCCTCCAGTGGTCTCTGCACGCCCTGACGCGAGGCCCTCGTGCTGGTGCCGTCAGGCCTCCTGCAGTCCATCCCCGCCACAGAGACTGCTCACATACACCAGCACACTCTTGGCTTTAGGGCTTTTGGACTGGCTGCTTCCTCTGTCCCGAATCCCCAACCCCCGGAAAGGGGATTGCCTTCACAGATGGCAAAAGTGGCTGACTCTCCCTGCACTCTTGCCCTCCCAGTGAGCCAGCTCTGACCACCCTATTCAAAACTGGTATTTCAGGACCAGCAGTTAGCGTAATGGCTATGTCACTGGACTCCCATATAGTTGACTGTGGTTCGAGTCCCAGACCCAGTGGCTTAAACTCACACCGGCGCGTGTGCATATGTGCCCAAGATCCCGAGAGGAGAATGGAGGAGAAGGGATTGTGGCATGGCCATCCCCCCGGGGGTGATCTCTTGTTTTCTGTCTTTCTGTCTCTGTCTTTCTGGCGAGCGCACGTGCCCTATAGCGAAAACCTCTAAAGAAAAAAGAAACCTGATATTTCACCATCTGCACAGTCTCTTTAATCCTGTTCAACAATTTTAAAAAAGAATTATTAATTTTATTTATTTTGGGACCAGCAGTTGGCATAATAGCTGTGTCATTGGACTCCCATGTAGTTGACTGCTGTTCGTGTCCTGGACCCAGTGGCTTAAACTCACACTGGGCGCGTGTGCGTGCGTGCCCCAAGATCCCAAGAGGAGAATGGAGAAGAAGGGATTGCGATGTGGCCATCCCCCCTGGGGGGTGATTTCTCTCTTTCTGTCTCTCTCTCTCTGGCAAGCGCATGCGCCCTATAGCAAAACCTCTCAAAAATAAAATTATTTATTTTATTGTTTTTTAATTTGCTCTAGAGGGCACATGTGCTCACCAGAGAGAGACAGAGAAAGGGAGGAACCAAGCCATCAGGTCCAGGGCTCAAACCATGGTCAGCCATGTGGGAGTCCACCACCTTAACCACCATGACACCTGTTTGCCCGGTTATTTTAATTAATTAATATTTTTAAAGTTGCATGCACATTTACAATAGAGAGAGAAAGTGAGAAAGCAAGCTGTCAGGTCCAGGACTTGAACCACGGTTGGCCATGTGGGAGTCCAGTGCCCTAACCCCACACCACCTGGAGGCCCAGTCCCGGTTTTATTTAAAGTGTCCTTATTCATATCTGTCATGAGAGAGAGGCACCCCAACAGAGTTCTGACTCCATGCTTCACTCCAGCCACGGGTGCACAGGCGCCCAACGTGGACAGCGCAACCTCGGGATGCGAGCCTGGGACTGTCCGCTGCGGGTCTAGCATTGTGGAGCACTGTTACTGCCCAGGGCATCGCCGACTGGCCCAGTTTTCTCTCAGTATAAATGATTCTGAAAGTGTGTATGTTCTCTTTTCTTCCCCCGTTCTCTGTCTGGGTGTGTATTAGGACTGACATACTGGAAGCTGGAGGAGAAGGACCTGTATCACTCTTTGCCGGAAACATTAGAGAAAGCGTTTGTCCCTTCCTCCTCAGATACGTCGTCAAGCCAGGTAATGAACGCGGTGATGCAGGTGCTCCGCTGTACGTTGCGTTTCGGCTCCTGAGCCTCAGGAGGGCGTGGACTTCAGACTCTGCCCTCGCCTGCTTCCAGCTCCCACCTGTCTGCTCCCGCGTGGTCTCGGGAGCCACTGGGACTTGACGCTGAGGTGTCGCTTGGTGCGCCGTGCGTTAGGTGAAACGTGTGTGTCTGCGCTGTCGTAGAGGAAGAATAGGTCCCAGCTCTCCTTTCCCCCCTCTAAACCTGTGTTGATTTTCCATCCTAGCACACCTGGCATGGGTCCATTTGTACTATAATTACATGCACTTTAATTTGCTGTATTTTCTTTAAGCAGGAAGTATGCATATTTTATTTCAGAATAAATAAAACTGCTTAGTGTGTATGTATTGATGCTCATATGAATATTTCATGGTTGTGTTTTTAAATTTATTTGATTTTATTATCATTTTAAGTTTTACTACAGGGCATATGCGCTCACCAGAGAGAGACAGGGGTGGGGAAGTGTCAAAGCAAGTCACCTGGTCAGGGACTCAAACCACGGTCAGCCATGTGGGAGTCCAGTGCCTTAGGGAGCACTGTTACTGCCCAGGGCATCGCCGACTGGCCCAGTTTTCTCTCAGTATAAATGATTCTGAAAGTGTGTATGTTCTCTTTTCTTCCCCCGTTCTCTGTCTGGGTGTGTATTAGGACTGACATACTGGAAGCTGGAGGAGAAGGACCTGTATCACTCTTTGCCGGAAACATTAGAGAAAGCGTTTGTCCCTTCCTCCTCAGATACGTCGTCAAGCCAGGTAATGAACGCGGTGATGCAGGTGCTCCGCTGTACGTTGCGTTTCGGCTCCTGAGCCTCAGGAGGGCGTGGACTTCAGACTCTGCCCTCGCCTGCTTCCAGCTCCCACCTGTCTGCTCCCGCGTGGTCTCGGGAGCCACTGGGACTTGACGCTGAGGTGTCGCTTGGTGCGCCGTGCGTTAGGTGAAACGTGTGTGTCTGCGCTGTCGTAGAGGAAGAATAGGTCCCAGCTCTCCTTTCCCCCCTCTAAACCTGTGTTGATTTTCCATCCTAGCACACCTGGCATGGGTCCATTTGTACTATAATTACATGCACTTTAATTTGCTGTATTTTCTTTAAGCAGGAAGTATGCATATTTTATTTCAGAATAAATAAAACTGCTTAGTGTGTATGTATTGATGCTCATATGAATATTTCATGGTTGTGTTTTTAAATTTATTTGATTTTATTATCATTTTAAGTTTTACTACAGGGCATATGCGCTCACCAGAGAGAGACAGGGGTGGGGAAGTGTCAAAGCAAGTCACCTGGTCAGGGACTCAAACCACGGTCAGCCATGTGGGAGTCCAGTGCCTTAGCCACCACACCACCTGCTGGCCTAGTAGCCGTGTTCCAGAATGTAGGCTAGGAAACAGGAGAGCTCTAACTGAAGCCACCAAGAGAGGAACAAGTGACATACACACACGGGGGCAGTGGGGGTCCAGTGCACCTCTGAATGTCTGTGTTCCAGAGAGCGACAGAGACCCGCATTCCAGACTCAGGAAAGGAATGAACAGATCAACACAGAGAGATGGACCCGTGGGGGTTGTGTCCGACTCAGCAGTCACATTGCACGGGTCGCCTGCTGCTCTGGAGCGGCTGCACTCCTGTGCCATGTGTTGCTGAACTGAGGGTGCGTCAGGTCTGAGGTTTCCCTTTTCTTTCTAGACAGGTACAGTGTTTTCTTTTGTTACTTAGAATTTATATTTTATCCTTAGGAAGAGCTTTCACACTTAATTAGCCATAGATTTTTATTATATATCTCTATATGTACTTAAAAAGGAACACAAGTGAATTAAAATTGGCCAAAACATACTCACTACAGAGGCTGATACTTTTCAACTCACAGTGGATTTCCATGTTTTCTGTATATTCCTTTGGGTTCCCAAGAGCATTGGTGATACGACATTTCTCTAAAAATACATTCAGTGCTTGGAGCTTTTTATTTATTTAATTGCTAGAGGGCTTGCGTGCTTGTAAGAGAGACAGAGCACCCAAAAGGCGCATGGTCATGTTGCTGTCCTGCCCTCCGTACCACCTCCCCTTCAGGGGTTTCGGGCACACGTATGCACTCATGTCTAGTGTGTTTTCAAGCCGCCAGGGCCGGGGTATGAATTTGTGGTTGAGCACGTGGGATCCAGCACCCTTCACTGCTGAGTTATGGGGCCAGCCTTGGCCGTTCTCTGCAAAGAATGGAAGGTGCGGGTGCTGAGTTTTCACCTGAGTCAGAAATTACGCAGCACTAGTGCTCGTCCAACTCTGGATGGGGAGCGACGCCAGACGTGTCCGTGTCACCCCCTCCCTTAAATCCTGGTTCTCAGGGCCCGTTGCCGTCTAGGGTTTTCTTCCACGCTGCTGACACCTGTGTGGTCAATGTTGATGCTTTTGATAATTGTTTATGAGCAGGCAATGGCAGTTATGTCACAGCTATTACCAAAATCGCCAAAAAGCAGTTGTCAGGTACAATTAATTATAAGGGGCATCCTCATCTCAGAGATGCCAAAATATAGTAAGAAAATAATATTGTAGACTGGTGAGACAAGGTAACTCCCGGGTGCACACTCTAAATAGAACATCACCACCTGTTCACAGGTCACCAGGCCAGGGCCCCTCCAGTGCCGCTTAGCCTAGTCTTGAGCTTCGGGGCTTGGAAAGAGTACTATAGGGTGTTGGTATGGAAAGAGTAAAACTGTAAAGCAGGATTATGGGGATTGTGGTTACTGTGAAAGGGTTAGATTTGACAGGTTAATGGCTGTAATACACACGCAAGAAGTATAATTAATTGTCCTGTTCTCAGACTATAGGATATATTAAAAAAGATTGAGTAGGCTGGCCCTGTGGCCTGGTGGGTAAGGGAGCTGGATTCCACATGGTGGACACCGTGATTTGAATCCTGGCCCCAGTGGATTGAAAAACACACGGGGCATGTGTGCATGTGTGCCCCAAATCCCAACAGGATAGGAATGGAAGAGAGAAGGGATCGTAGGATGACTGTGCCTATTGTGGGATGTTTTTTTCCCTTCCCCTTCACTGTTTCCTTCTGGTGAGTGCATGCACCCTTTGATAATTATTTAAAAAAAATTAATTCAGGGTGTTCTGCAGCTTATGTTGGGTCTGGAAATGGGACCTAAATTTAAAGCTATATGGTGAATGTGTTTTCTTGTTGCTTTAAATGTATTCCTTATTAATTATCTCCTTTGAGGTAACAACCAGAGTTGAAATTTGAGGACCAGGGTTAATTTTGTATTCTTGTCACACCCTACAAATAATTTGAGCCCAAAGTTGTAATGTTTTGGGCTTAGACCTCTTTGTAACATTTGTGGTGTAGCAAAGCCCCGATTTCCTGATTGCCAGCTTTAGAAGTTATGGTCATTACATTACTCCTTATATTACTAATTGGAAAGAAGCGGACTTCTTTTTCTTGTAGTTTCTTTAAAAATTTTAATTAATTAATTTTTAAAATCTGCTATAGGGCACATGCAGTAATGAGAGAGAGCGCGCTAATGAGAGAGCTCACCATCCAGCTAGCCACCAGGTCCAGGACCTGAACTGTGGTTCTCAGTGTAGCAGTCTAGCGCCTTAACCACCATGCCACCTCTGACCCCTTAAAGCTTCTTACCTACCCTTTTTTCAGGGGTGGGTATGGTTTGCAGACTCTTTTACAACGAAACCAAACCAAGCATGGCTCTCAAGTCTCGATGGGAGGCGTGCTGCTGATTGTGCTGTCCTTTGAGGCACGCGGAGTCGATTGGCCCAGAGTTCCTCATCCTGCTTCAGACTTTCATGCTGACCTCTTCTCCACAGACTTGGTTCTTATTTGAGTGTGGGCGTTGGGGAAGGAATACCGAAGATTTTATTCTTTGAGAATAGTCATAGGCTGCTTAATAATTTAAGCTCAAGTTATCCCCTTAATATTTATAGTTAGGAGATATAAATATTTGTTTCATTCTGAGGGAAATTCATAATAATAGGAAATGACTTTCAAACTTATACATCTGACTGTTTAGATTTTTAACTTAATTTTCCAAATCTTTCAGTAATCCCTTTATGGTGCAGATTTTTTTTATGATGCAGCTTTTTATATTAGTAAATATTTTCCATTGCTGATAATACCATTTAAATAATTCTGTTTCGTATCTTTAAGTCTAATAGTAGTAATGGGATGCAGCTACCATCACTGAAGGATATTTATCATAAAAAACAAAGGGAAAAGAAGCAGTTACCTGAGAGGAATCTCACTTCTCCCAACCCAAATCATCCCCCGGAGGTAAAGTTGGCAGCGTTCTGCTGAGCGCAAGTGACGTGCTCCCTGACTCTGGCTCTGGCTTCTTGTGTACGCTTTCCTTTCTCGCGCAGATCTGCTGCTGCTCCCTCAGAAACCAGCAGCCGAGCACGGAACTGAGGCTCAGGTCTCACTGTCGACTCTCTGTCCGTAGGTGCTGACTCTAGATCCAACGTTGCACATGCAGCCGAGTCAGCAGGTTCTAGGAGCCCAACCACATGGCTGCTTGAACGCCCTGGATGAGAGGACATCCTTTTCACCAGACTCGGTTCTAGAACCTAGTATGTCCAGTCACTCGGACATTGACTCTTTTTCACAAGCAAGTAATATCGCTGCTCAGTTATCCGGATTCTCCAAACACTCTTCAAGTACAAAGGCTTCACCAGTGGCCTCTTGGAAGAATCACGCATTCCAAAGTGAAAGTAGGACCAGCTCCACGTTTCCTTCAGTGTGTACTCTCACTAGTGACGATGTCTCGGTCAACACTGTAGACGAAGAGAACACTGTCATGGTAGCGTCAGCCTCAGTCAGTCAGTCCCAGCTTCCAGGTACAGCCAACAGTGTCCCAGAATGCATTTCATTGACTTCCTTGGACGACCCTGTGATATTGTCTAAGTATGTATTTCAGTGAGTGCCTTGTAATGTTCATAGATTTTTGTGATGTCTGAATGAATGATAAACATGGTTTTTACTGAAATTTAGTAAGGTATAACATCTTAAATTGAAAGAGCGATATAGGGGCCAGCAGGTGGCGTGATGGTGAAGGCACTGGACTCCCACATGACTGACCGAGTTCAAGTCCTGGACTCTGGCTTGAAAATCAAGCCAGGCATGCCCATGTGTGGGTGTGAGTGCCTAAGATCCTTGGAGGAGAAGGGGTTGTGGTGTGGCCATCCTCTCTCGGGGGTTATTTCTTACTTTTCCTCTCACTGTCTATCCAGTGAGCACATGCACCCTAAGGCAAAAGTCTCTTAAAAAAGTAAATAAAATAAAAAATGACAAATGGAATTAAATAAATAAATCCTTTTTTTCTTTTCTTTCTTTTTTTTTTTATTTAGAAAAAGAGCAATATAGCATTTTACGATTGAGCACCCAAACATTTATTTTGGATGTTATTAGTTATCAGTTGTCTGCTTTCTGGGTATTAACCCGTTGTCCTCTTGTGGGGTGCAAAGGTAGGCTGTAGCTCCGCCTGTGAGGACGACTGCGTCCCGAGCTCTCGTAGGACAGGGAGGAGAGGTGTGCTTTCTTAACCTTGCGTGTTTTAACACCGCAGCATCAGGCAGAGCCTGAAGGAAAAGCATGCGCGGCACATAGCAGACCTTCGAGCTTATTATGAATCAGAAATAAATAGTTTGAAACAGAAGTTGGAGGCAAAGGAGATGTCTGCCGTTGAAGACTGGAAGAAAACCAACCAAATTCTCGTAGACAGGTAAACTTGCCGTTTAACTGTGAAGGTCGTGGCTCCCATTTGGATGTATCATTTCCACACAAGCAGGCTGTACTGTGGTGAGAAGGCACACTGAGAACGTGTGCTTTGGATTTGAAATTGTAGCGCAGAGACATGTTTGAGGCATTTTTACAGATCTGAACCCACCTCTTAGGTACGTTAGTAACTGACTGAGGCCATTCGCGGCCGACGGGCAGGTGCTGAGGTCATCGAGCAGGTTGTCCATGTCAAGTGTTTGTGGGAGGAGTGGTGCTGCCCTGTCCTAGAGCGAGGTCTGCGACTCCTGTCCTCTGCCAGGCACAGCGTTTTTTGAGTGCCTGGAATTGCACACTTGGAAATACTGCCGTTCTCAGGGCCAGCACGTGGCACGGTGGTTCAGGTGTTGAACTCCCACATGGCCAACCACGGTTCGAGTCCTGGATCTGGTCACTTGGAAATCCTTCTGGGCATGTGTGTGTGTGCATGCCTAGAATCCCAGGAGGAAAATGGAGGGGAGGTGATTGTGGCATGGCTGTCTCCCGAGGGATGAGTTCTCACTTTTCTTTTCACTCTCTCTCTTTACCACTCTCTGGGGAGCACATATGCCCTATGGCAAAACCTAAATATATATATATATCTCCACTGCAGTTCTCTTGAACCTGTGGAGCAGTTACCCCACAGAAATGTGAGGAGGGTGGCCTTATGCTAGGGACGGCTTCGTACTTACTTTAGAGAGAATCGGTTAGGTAATCTGATGCTTGCAGTTACATGGGACTTAGCCCGAGAGTCGCTGCAGGTCTAGGTGGCAGGAAAGAGTCCTCTAAGGCAAGGAGGGAGAAGCCCCTTTGAGTAGAGCACGAGGGCACTCGGAATTTCTGGGCCAGCCAGCAGTCTCTTTTGGAATTGGAGAAAACTAGCCTGTGTACCGAGTAGTTCTGGTCCCGGCCACACTTGAGATGGCCACCTTACTCGGTGTGTCCGCAGCTCGTTTTGCTTCTGGTGGGGGTTGCAGTAGTAGGGAGAGGTATGTGAAGAGGGTCAGAAAAAACCAGCTTCGGGGGTTTTCTTTCCAGGCTTTTTGCCACAGGGCACATATGCTTGCTGGAGAGAGGCAGAGAGAGAGAGAGGGAAAGTGAGAAATCACCCTGCATGGGGAGGGATAGCCATATTGCAGTCCCTTCTCCATTCACCTCTCGGAATTCTGGGCACATGTACACATGTGCCCAGTGTGATTTTCAAGCTGCTGGGTCTGGGACTCGAACCACAGTTGGCTATGTGGGACCTAGCACCTTCACCACCCCGCCACCTGCTGGCCCTAGCTTTAGTTTTTCAATAACAAAAAGAGTAGATTGCAGGATGAAAAGTTGGTTCTTGTTTTTATTTTATTTTTCAAGTTTGTCTTTCTCTTGCTCATGCAAGAGAGAGAGCACCCAGCAGAACCTCTGTGCTGTCTCCATCCCCAGCTCTGAGCTCCTGGCTTTGTGCATACACCCAGGGAAGTCTCTGGACTCAAACCTGGACTTTCCTGGGTGGGTCAGCCTCACAGAACATTGACATGTTACCAGTGTGCCCCTGTCCAGCCTCGTGTTTTTTTGTTTGTTTGTTTGTTTGTTTTTCCTTTCTCCATTTAAGAAGGCAAAGTTTGGGGCCAGCAGGTAGTATGGTGGTTAAGGTGCTGGACACTCCCACATGGCCAACCATGGTTCAAGTCCTGGACCTGATGGCTTGCTTTCTCACTTTCCATCTTTTTCTCTGTGTCTCTGGTCAAATTAAAATAAATGAATGAATAAATAAAAAATAGTAAATCTTAAAAAAAAAAAAAAAAGGGAAAGTCTACGGGTACATTCTGCTGGAAAACAGAAGTGTGACAGAAACCCAGCAGTGGACTTAAGGCACCCAGTACACGACAGCTAATCGACACGTTTTCGTGTCTAAAAGCTGCACAGCACGAGGAGGGGGCAGTTTGGAGTCAGGACTCTAATAAACGGCCACCTAGGGCCCTGGAGCGGATGTCCCAGTGCTGCATAGGGAGGACCAGTACGCTGTTTACCTTCTCTCGCTTCCGGCAAGGCTTGATCTGGCTTCCAGTGTGAACGCTGTGTGTCACAGAGGACAGAGGAAACAAAACAAGAAACTGTCATCGTTTAGGACTGGAGGGTGAGTTCCCAGGACTGGAGCCGGTGTTAGCAGCATACACGCCAGGCTTTTTCGTCAGACTTAAAATTGCAAATCAGAGAATCCCACTGGTACCACAAATGGCACCATTAACACTTCCCATGGAGGCCTGCTGTGATGTCAGATAATTATGTCACACAGTTGGCTCCGCCGAGTGCTGGCGTATGCGACAGAGTGGTGGTGGAGACGGTGCCATGCAGTGAACACGTGCATGGTGACTAGGTCGGCGATCTGTCCAAGCCGGCCGTGTCTGTGCCCCGTCTGAGGGCGCTGGTGCCCAGGGGTTAGGAGCGCCAGCTCCAGCCAGACTGCCTGGGTGGCATCCCAGTGCGACCTGCAGTGAGGAACTGAGCTTCTCTGTTTTCTCTTCTGTGAAATAGGGCCAGCGGTGGTCCTAGCTACACGATCCTGAGGATGCATGGGTAACCAGTACTAAATAAATAAGCTTTCAGTACTCAGGCAGTATCATTAAGCACCAGTTCACAGTGGTAACTCAACTCTTCAGCGTATCTACTTGTTCTTCAGTTCTGTGATAATTAACTTTACAAAGAAAATCTTTAATTACTAGAAGGATACATTCGCGCCAAGTTTGAAGTGGTACTGGAGGGCGTCATGTCGTAGGAAAAGCAGGCCTCCCTGCCCGCCGTAGTCTCAACCTCCCAGACTGACTTTTTGTATCCTTCCAGAAATCATAATGTTTATGTGTGTATGTAGATTTTATTTTATTATTTTTTTAACTGAAGCTAAATTTATGATTTTTAGATGTGGCCAGTTAGATACTGCTTTGAATGAAGCTACCAGTCGTGTGAGAACACTTGAAAATAAGAATAACTTACTGGAAATAGAAGTGGTAAGTACTCCTTTTTTGGTGGTGGTTCTAGTGGCTCAATGTTGATTGTTTTTGTTAACTGAGCTTGAGAGAGTCCTTGGTGGCACTGGGGACGTGCTGGTCACTTTCTCAGGGCCGACTTGCCGCGTTGGTATCTCCAGTGCTGCTGCTTCATCCAATACTGCCCTTCTGCCTTTCAGAACTCCCCTTTATTTTAATTGGGCATAATTGGCAGACAGTCAAAATGCCTTTTAAAGTATCCAAGTCAGGGTTCTTTTAGTATATTCAGAGTTGTGCAGCCCTCGCCACAGTGGATTTCAAACAGTTTCTTAGTCAGAAGGAAGCGCCACAGCCCTCCGTCATCAGCCCACCCACACCCTGGTCGCCTCAGCCCCTGGCAGCACTGACTGTCCTTTCTGCCCATGTGGGTCTGCCTCTTCTGGACGTTGACGTACACAGAATCGTCCAGAACACGGCCTTTTAAAAAAATAGCCAACAGGCACGTGTGTGCTCATCAGAGCTGGAGGAAGAGAGGGACGGAGCACTCGCGGGGCTTGGCCACAGCGCGGCCCCTCTCCTCCGTTTCTCCACCGCGCCGGCGTTCTGGCGGCCCACCCGTGCCTGTGGCGTGCTCTCCCAGTCCCTGGGGCTGGACTGAGTGATGGCTCACCCCAGCTCCCTCAACCGCGGAGCTCTGAGGCCAGCCCATGTCTATTGCCATGTCTGTGATTTCTTTTTTTACTTTGTTTTATTTTGAGAGTTTTGTTTTTTATTAAGAATGATTTTATTTAACTTTATTTATTTATTTTAATTTGACCAGAGATGGTCAAAGAGAGAGAAAAGAAACCACCAAGTCTGAGACTCGAACCTCAGTCAACCGTGTGGGAGTCTACTGCCCTTAACCACCACACCTGCTGGCTCCTGTTTGAGAGATTTTTGCCTTAGGGTACATGTGCATACCAGAGAGACAGATAGACAGACAGACACAGTAAGAGGGAAAGGAGGAAATCACCCCCCAGGGAGATGGCCATGCTGCAGTCTCTTCTCCACTTTCCTCCCGGGATCTTGAGCACGCACACCCAGTGTGAGTGTCAAACCACCACATCCAGGACTCCAACTGTAGTCGGCCATGTGGGGAGGCTAGTGATGCAACCACTATGCCATCTGCTGGCCTGCCATTTCTTTCTATATGCACATATATACATGTGTATGTGTGTGTAAATATTTATTTATGAATGCGTGAGAGACGCACCCTTGATTAGGTCTCGTCCTGCCGTAGCCCCTTCCCTGGCCCTCTGACTCCTCAGGACCCTCTGCCCACATGTGCCCCTGCTGTGTTTTCAGGCTGACCCAGGAATTCGAAAGCGCAGTCAGCCACTTGGGTTCCAGCCGCAGGGTGTCCACGCTGGTGCTGCCTCGCGGTGACTGAGCTCACCACCTCCATGTTGCAGCTCCCACCGCCGTCAGTGGCTCTCAGCTCACCGCCTCCCTAGTGCAGTGCCCACCCCTGTAACTGGCTCTCAGCTCACCGCCTCCGTAGTGCAGTGCCTGCCCCCATAACTGGCTCTTAGCTCACCGCCTCCGTAGTGCAGCGCCCGCCCCGTAACTGCCTCTCAGCTCACCTAATTTTCATTTAAGATGTTATTACTGGGACCAGCAGTTAGCGTAATAGCTATGTCGCTGGACTCCCATGTAGTAGACCACAGCTCGAGTCCTGGACCCGGTGGCTTAAACTCACGCCGGGCTTGTGTGTGTGTGTGTGTATGTGTGTGCGCCCAAGATCCCAAGAGGAGAATGGAGGAGAAGGGATTATAGTGTGGCCATCCCCCCTGGGAGATGATTTCTCGCTTTATGTCTCTCTGTCTCTTTCTGTCCTTTTGGCGAGCACACGCGCCCAATAGCCAAGAACCTATCCAAAAAGAAGAAAGAAAAAAAAAGACGCTGTTATCCCTCTTTCCTTTGTAGAGTGATTTGAAAGAACGCTTCAGTGCAGCCAGCAGTGCCTCCAAAATTCTGCAGGAACGAATCGAGGAAATGAGAACAAGTAACAAAGAAAAAGACAATACCATTGTTCGACTAAAATCCAGACTGCAGGATTTAGAAGACGCTTTCGAGAATGCTTATAAACTCTTAGATGATAAAGACGCTAGATTAAAACAGGAAAACAAAATGTTTCAAGACGTAAGTAGCCAGTAATGGTGATGAAATGGCATGGCTGGCTGAGAGTGACGTATTGAGGTCCTGTCCTCTTATAAGCTAAGAGACCTTTTCTCAGTTTCGTCTCCCTCTCTAATTTGCCAGAGGGCATGTGCACTCACTGGAGAGCGGGGAGAGGGAGAAAGGGCGCAGGCACCCTGGGGCATGGTCACACTACAGTCTCCCCTCCATGTCTTCCTTTGGGGATTTTGGACAGGCACCTGGCGTGCTGTTGAGTCCTTGGATCCAGGACTTGAACTTTGCATTCGGTCATGTGGGATCCAGCCACTCTGACCACCGTACCCCCGGCTAGCCATCCAGGTTTCTAATAGGTAGCTTTGCGAGGGCGGGTGGAGCAGGCGGGTGTCGTCACCTGGGAATGATGGCTCCTTCACGCTTTCTGCTCTGCAGGCCGGCTCTCGAGCTGTCTTAACTCAGCGTCTGCGCCTGTCAGGGCAAATGCTGCGAACCAGGTTTAGAGCAGGTCGACTGGACTTTTCCCACTGTGATTGAATTTCACTTAAAATTTACATTTGTATAACATTGAAACTGGGTTAGGTTTTGGGTTATATTTTTATATTTTTTTCCAAGTTTTTTTTTTTTTTTTTAGAGGTTTTTACCTTAGGGCATGTGCATTCTCCGGGGAGAGAGAGAGATAGAGTCAGAGACAGTGAAGCGGGGTCCGTGGGGGATCACCACACCGCAGTCCCTTCTCCTCCATTCTCCTGGGATCTCCAGCACACGTGCACGTGCAGCTGCCATGTTTCAATTCACCAGGTTCAGTACTCAAATTAGTCAGCCATGTGGGATCCAGTGAAGTAATCACTATGCCTTCTTCTGGTCCCTTTTCTAAGGTTTTCCTTTTTTACCAGAGGGTTCACGTGCTCACATATGAGAGAGGAGCCCTCTCCCCTCCACCAGTGGGGCAAGATCATAGCACAGTCCTCTTTCCTCCATCGCTCCATTTTGTAGGAACTTGGGGCATGTATGCACACATGCCTGACATTGTTTTTAAGCCATGGGACTGGTATTCGAGCCATCGTCAGCCATGTGTGCCTGTCTGCACGCTGACTTAACTGCTGCGTTTTAGGGTCAGCTCCTTAAGTTTTTCCTCTTTCAAAGTTTGTCTCCTGTGAGTGAGAGAGACAGAGAGAGACAAAGACAGATAGTACCTCTAGGTCCTGATTCTGCAGTCCACCCCCAGCCTTTAGCCAGCCCTGGGTCTTGTCAGTCATGTGCCCAGTATGCTCAGGGAGGTCTCTGGACCTGAACCCGGGACCTTCCCATACTATATGGCTGTACACCCACCTGGCCCCTCCAAGTTTTTCTCAGTGGGTTTTTTCCCATAAATCTGAAAGTATATTTAGGCTGTTCAAATTTTCTACCTGGTATCTTTAGCTCTGTTGCGTGTTCCTTTGGCATTTTGTTTTATGGCTTTTTTGGGGGTTATGTTTGTGTCAGAGGGCACGTGTGCTTGCCAGAGTCAGAGGGAGAGCAGGGGGAAAGCACTTGCCAGCAGGGCGTGGTCACACCGCAGTCCCTTCCCCATCTCCCCAACCTGTCGGGATTGGGCACGCATGCTTATGTGCCCAGTGTGAACACACAGCTGCTCGGCTGGGTGCAGAGTGTGGCTGGCCTGGTGGGACCCAGCTGCCTTCACCACTGACTGTGGGGCTGGCCCGGTATTCTGTGTTCCATTAGCGCTGTCCATGGCTTTGGTCATTACTGTTCTTTTTCGAGTGTTTTAATAGTGCAGGTGTAGTGTATGCGAGTTCTTGTGCTCCCTGTCTTTAAAACCTCTCGTACTTTTTACCTTGACATGATTTCAGACCTTTAGGAAGTTGCAGAAAGCGCACAGAGTTTCCATATATACTCTTTGCCTAGATTCCCAAATGCTAAGATTTTATAGTGTGTGCTTTACCACTCTTCCACAAATAGACATTTTTCCCTAACCTATTTGAGGGTAAGTTGGTGATGTGATATAACTTTCTTTCTAAATACTTCAGGGTGTATTTTCTAAAAACAAGGACAATCTCCTGTATGACCACAGCAGAGTTTGGAAATGCACATAGTGGCCTTCATCTGCAGGTTTTCGAGTTTTGCAAACGCTCCCATGTAGGCCTTTGCCCAGGCCGTGTCGGGGATGCCACACAGCTGCCCACAGAGCCCTCTGGCCGCCCGTAAGCCAGCAGGGTTCCTTTTTCTTGGTCTTTCATCATCTTGACACCTTTGTAAATCAGAGTCCGTTTATCTTATACCACTGTGCTTTCCAGTGTGGGAGCCACTAGCTGCAAGTCGCTGTGCAAATTTGAGTGGGTTAAAATTAAATTGAATTTGAAGTCAGTGCTTCACCTGCACCAGCCACATTTCAGGTCTCGGCAGCCATGGCTGGCGACTAGGACTAGCCATGCGCTCGGCACACCTGTCTCTGCGAGGTCCTGTGGGCGTGCTTACCGTCAGGCTGCCTGGGAGGCTAGGACTGGCCATGTGCTTGGCACACCTGTCTCTGTGAGGTCCTGTGGGCGTGCTCACCGTCAGGTTGCCTGGGCTGCTAGGACTGGCCATGTGCTCGGCACACCTGTCTCTGTGGGGTCCTGAGGGTGTGCTCACCGTCAGGCTGCTGGGGCGGCTAGGACTGGCCGTGCCCTTGGCACACCTGTCTCTGCGGGCTCCTGCAGGAGTGGTCACCGTCAGGCTGCCGGGGCAGGAGGCCCTTTCACTCTGCCGTGTCAATTCTAGTCACCTGGGTGAGGGAGGGAGAGGCCGACTGCCAGGTTTCCTTGCTAGAAAGTTGCGTTTTCCCCTTTGGGATTAGTGAGTGTCAAAATTCTGAGGAGGTCATTGAGGCATATGTAATGATCTTTTGCTCGTCAAGCTGTTAGTCCCAAGTTCGTGCTTCCATGGAGGAACGTTAGTGGAAGGGGCAGTTACTGTGCGGGCTTTTCTTGCCCTCCTGCGTAAATCCGTCTGTTTACTCCTGCATTTGGCAGACGGGTTTTGGCCTTTACTGTCCTGTATGTGTGTGGATCCGTGAGTCTGGCGCTGTAACCCGGGGGGCTACTGTCCCTTCCCACTGTGCTCGCGATTCTCTGCTCACGTTGTCCCAGCTCTGGCCAGCTCCCACGCCCTTCCGACGTGACTTATCCTCAGCACCCACCCGTACTTCTGGCACGGCCAGGCGTTCCGGCCCATCTCAGGCTTTCCTATCCCAGCCCTGGAGTCAGGCATTTCCCACGGAGCTCCGGATCCCTTAGTGGGAGATGGTATTGAGCAGCCAAGATCTGACAGTAGGAGTGTTCATGGCTGTTGCCATGCCCCTCGCCCCCTTTTAAATTTTGCCAGGTGGTACGTGGTCATGTCACAGTCCCGTCTCTGTTTCTGCTTTCGGAATTTGGGGCACACACACGGCCCGTGTTTCTCAAGCTGCCAGGTCTGGAATGCACATCACACAGTTGGCCACATGGGATCCAGCTGCCTTAACCGCCTCGCCCCAGGCTGGCTCACCATTGTTTTCGATCACTTAGAAACCCACCACAGTTATGTGTGAGTAGCAGTGAAGTAGCAGATAATAAAAGTAATAAAAAATAATGTTCATTTGTTTTAGCTGAAATTTTATTAATCTAGCCAGTGATAGCACCACACGTTCCAAATACTTCGGGCATAGAGAAGAACGTGGAGAGTGACGGTCCACCCTCTACAGGCCATCTATTGATGCCGTGGAACACCCGCTTCTGTTCCTTCCTCCCCCGCCCACCGGCCACGCGTGCTCCCTCCTCCCCTGCCTTTCCCGCTCCTTCTACACGCATGCATGTACTTGGACGTCCTAAACTATGTGAGTCGGATTGCATGTCTCTCTGCAACTTGTTTTTTCCCTCTCAACATTGTTTCTGAGGCTTATATTGCTACATTTAGCTTTTATTTACTTATTTTAAAAATTCTTGATGGAGTATGTGAGCATGTACTTGAGACAGAGATAGAGAGAGGCCCTCTTCCCAGGCTTGGTCACGCCGCGATCCCCTGCCTTGGGTCCTCTAGCCTGTTGGACCTCGGGCACTTGTGCATGTGCGCAGCATGTTTCAGACTGGCCAGGTGGAGGGTTCGGCCCGCAGGTGCCTGTGGGGCCTGGTTTTTCTTGAGTGGCACATTTCCCCTGTGTTACAGAGCCAGACTTCCATTCTTACTTAGACAAACTCACAGTATGGCAGGTATATAAAAATAATTAGGAATAACAAATACACGTGAACATGACACCCAGCTGAAGAAATAAATGCCAGGACCAGCAGTTAGCATAACGGCTATGTCACTGAACTCCCATGTAGCCGACCGCGGCTCGAGTCCCGGACCCGGTGGCTTAAACTCATGCCTGGTGCATGTGCGTGCGTGCCCAAGATCCTGAGGAGAATGGAGGAGAAGGGATTGTGGCGTGGCCATCCCCCTGGGGGGTGATTTCTCGCTTTCTATCTCTCTCTCTTTCTGGTGAGCACATGTGCCCTATAGCAAAAACCTTTCCAAAAAAAGAAAAAAAAAAGAAAAAGAAAACAATAAATGCCACAGGTACAGTAGGAGACCCCCGGGTGCCGTTTCCTGTGCCCTCCTCTGCCCTTCTGGGAGTGCCTGATCTGGACTGTGTGACTGTCATCCCCACGCTTGTCTGTGTCATCACATCTGGGAGTATTGTTAGTTCTTCAGCACATCCTAAAACTTTTTGTAAATGCCATCATCCGATATTTACTATTCTGTAGCTTTTCTACTGGTGAGGCTTACCTAAGTGGATGGATGTCACAGCCTCCGTTCCTGCTCGTCATCCATTGTGTGGATCCTCCGCAGCTCACCTCCCCATTTTCTGTTGCCAGTTTGCTGCTCTGTATGAGTAATGCTGCCATGGACGCGTGTGTGCAGGCTCTCCAGGGCGCCGGCGGCCTCCTCCCCGTGTGTGCGGGCTCTCTAGGATGCCGGCGGCCTCCTCCCCGTGTGTGCGGACTCTCCAGGGTGCCGGCAGTCCCCTGCCCGTGTGTGCGGGTTCTCCAGGGTGGTGTTGCAGTTCCTAGAGCTGCAGGACAACTCCCTGGAACTTGACCTACTCTTCTCATGGGCTGTGGCCCAGGAACTTAGCTGGGGCACAGCGGGGGTGGCTGTATCTAGGTCCACTACTGGAAGCTCAAAGGCTAGGGCCAGAGCTCCTGGAGGCCGTAGTTGAGCACTACTGAATAGCAAGTGACAGTTGCGCATTTCCTCCCCTGGGGCTGACTGGGCTGCTTTGTAGCATGCGGCTGAGCACAGGTCGAGTAAAGGTGTTTGTTACCTGTGCTACATTCTTTCTTTTCTAATTTGCTAAAGGGCACGTGCACTCAAGGAAGGAAGGCACACACCCTGGGAGGATGGCCCACCGCAATCCCTGGGGTTTTGGGCACTCACCCACATGCACTCAACGTGAGTTTCAAGCTGCTGGGTCCAGAACTCAGACTGCAGTTGACCACGTGGAAGTCCAGCACCCCAGCCACGACGCCACCTGCTGGCCCCAATACCACCTTTGGATGGGGTGTAGCAAGGTTCTTGAGCTTTTGGGCCTAGAGATGTTGCTGTGGCCATCCCTGGGGCACAGCCTGAAGTGAGAACGTAGATACTGTCCCCTGCGTACCCCAGCTGGGACCTAGCCTGGGGGCACTGGCCTTTGTACCAGGCAGTCCGAAATTGCTCTTTGTGATTGGACCAGTTTCCTCACCAGCGGTGAGTGGGAACGCTGAATGTCCTCTCAGGCTGCCAGTGCTTTGTATGGTCCAACCCCTTCATTTTTGCCAGTCTGATTAGAGTAAAATGGTTATGTGTATCATGGTCGTCTTTTCTTGGCCTGTGGCTTGCCTTTTTACCTTTTGTTTGTGTTTGAAGGTTTTTGCCTTAGGGTGCATGGAGAGAAATAGGGCCGGTGGAAAGGCCACACTAGAGCCTCTCCTCCTTTCTCCTCCTGGACTTCAGTGCCTGCATGTGCACGCCCCCGGTGTGATTTTCAAACTTCCACGTCTGGGACTCAGACTGCCGTCAGGGAAGAGACTCCAGCGCCTTAACTCCATGCCAGCTGCTGGCCTGTCTGGTGTTTCTTACGGGGTAGAAGTTCTGTGTTTTAATGTCCAGAGTGTAGTCTTTTCATTTATGGTTTGGGCCTTGTATTCCCCCACATTTCTTGAACTCCTAACTTTATCTATAGTTAGGGTTGAACACTGGGGTCCTTCATGTGCCATTTGGCTACTGTAGATTCTGGGCCAGCCAGACTGAGGAGGCTTAGTGTCACTGCTCACGCTGTCTGCGTGGTGAGGGGTCCCGCCCTCTCCCCCTCTGCCCGGCACACAGGGCTTTGGCTGTACCCGCTTTCCCACCCTCTTTTACGTTTCAAGTCCTTGGTTTCTGAAATCCCTTAATGACATGCCTTGGTTGAAGACTTGTTACTCACTTATTTTAAGAGAGATTTTTGCTATAGGGCACGTGCACTCACCGGACAGACAGAGAAACAGAAAGCGAGAAATCACCCCCCAGGGGGGATGGTCATGCCGCAATCCCTTCTCCTCCATTCTTCTCTTGGGATCTAGGGCATGCACGCACACGCGCTCATCGTGAGTTTAAGCCGCCGGTTCTGGGACTCGAACCATGGTTGACTGTGGGAGTCTAGCAACGTAACCATTACACCATCTGTTGGTCCCATATCATGGCTATTTTAAAAAAAATAATAATTATTTTATTTAACTTATTTATCCATTTCTTTGCTTATTTTATTTTGATCAGGGAGGGATAGAATGGAAGAGAAAGAGAGAAAGCATACCACCCTCTTCAGGTCCCCCCGCTCTGCGGGTCCCCCCCCCTCTGCTGGTCTTTTAAGACTCCTTTTATTTTTTGTTTAGGGTTTCAGTTTCTTCCAATCTGGGAATTAGTAACCTACAATTCTACAAAACTTGCTAATGTTACTTCTCTATTAAATTCCTACCCCTCATTTTTCTGTTCCCTTTTTCTGGAACTTTTGCCAGCAGGTGTTATAGTGCTTGGATTGATTCTTTAATTTTTAAAAAAGTTTTACTTTTTATCGTAGTCTCTTTGTTGTATATCTTCCAGTTTTAAAATTAGTTTCTACCATAGGGTGTATGCCTTTGCTGGAGAGAGACAGAGAGAAGGAAAGTGAGAAATCACCCGAGTGACTAAGACATAAGGTTGGATTTTCAGAGCCACACGAGCAGGTTCTCATGCCACAGCCCTCCTCCCCGCGGGGACCTCAGACACACGTGCTACGCGTCACGTGCGGGTGTACAGGCAGACCGGGAACCAAGCCTTGACCTTCCATGTCAATCCAGCATCGTGGAATGGCTCGCTCCCACCGTGCCCTGCGGCTGGGCCTGTTTTCTCTTTGATTTTTTTCAGTGTTAATTTAGTGGGACTTCAGAATGAGGAGGAAATTCTGTGATGTGAATCTGTTGTCGTAAACTAGACATCTTGAGTACATACGTTAAAATAAATTCCCTAATTAGACTTTTGTACCTTTACTCCTTAAAACTAACATAGGAAAAGTAATATCCAGTAATTTTCTAAAATGTAATTAAAAAATGCAAATGAAATTTAATCTTCTAAAATACTACAAAGGCATTGATTGATACTAAGTTAATTTATGTTACTTTTCATCTTACTTCTTCTGCGAGAGGGCGAGGCAGAGAGGGAAGGAGAGAGAGGCCCGCGCAGACAGACACCCTGTGGGATCCCCATGCCTGATGTCCCCCAGCCTCAGCCACCTGGCAGAGCCGCAGGGAGACCTGGCCACATGTCCCCGGGGCCTTCCCCATGAGGGTCAAGTATCGATTGTTTTGACATAATTTCAAATTTACAGAAAACTTGAAAGAGCGCTATAAAGCATTATGTTGTCTGTGTGGGGTCACCAACCATTTGGACTTTCCCTCACGACGTTAGCACTGAGATGCAGGCAGCTGTATTTAGGCCGTCTTCAGGTGAGACCATTTAACTCTGTGGTGATTCTCTGCTTTTCCTCGTAGCTTTTAGGAGAGTACGAGTCCCTTGGGAAGGAACATGGAAGAGTCAAGGTAACGGCCGCTCGTCCCTGTTCTGGCTCTCACAGTGGGTGGGAGCCCTGGTTGAGGATCCACGCACCCGACTCTCCTCTGCTCCCAGCCTGGTAGCTGTTTCAGCTAGACCACACGCTTACCCTTTCTGTGTTGATGTCCCGACTCCAAATGCCTGCTCTGTTTAACTCACAAATTGATTAGGTTTGTTCATTTCAACACATACTTGGTAAGTGGCCGTTGCATTTGAGAAGAGTTAATTGAGATGAAATAGTTTAGAAGGTTGCAGGTAATTATTAAATACTAAGAACTAAGATACAAGGTTTGGGTTTCCAAAGCATTAGCATTTTGTGGGGTGAGTTGTGATTATAGCTGTGCTGGGGGCCTGCGAGTTTGAATTCAAAGACACCCCGCAGCCATGCCAAGAGTGGGAGCCAAGGGCTTCTGTTGCATGGAACAGACTTTGGCTGTTTAAGGTTCCTGAGAAGCCCTGCCCAGCTGAGCAGCCCAAGTTCTGGGGTTCTACCCCAGGTCTTAGCCCTGTCTGTGGTTCGAGTGCGTCTGTGCAAACACCGGCTCGTTTCTCAGAACAGAGCACAGAGACCTGGGCCAGGCCACAGGCGCTCGTGCAGCGCTCCTACGGCCTCCACGCTGCCGGGTGTCCGTCATTTGTAGCCAGCTGGTCGAGCCTCCGGTTAGTTCTGTATTACGCGTTTTAAAATAAAAGGGTAGGTCTGTATACTCATCCTCAGTTACCTGAGTTTCCCTTTATTTTACAGGATACGTTAAATACGACTGAGAACAAATTGCTCGATGCACACACTCAGATTTCCGATTTAAAAAGGTAAAATGTGTTGTCTGCCAATAAGCCAGTAGCTCCACTCATTCTGTCATGTGTCCGTGTTGAAAGCAGTGAAAAGGCAGTTTTTCTTGAGTTTCTTTAAAAGCAGTTTGAGAACTAGTTTTATCCAAACCATCCCCTGATGTGGCAATACATTTGATTTTAGTCAAAGATGATTTTTAGGTGATTAGAATGTGTTGGACGCTGTGCCTCAGAGGTGTACGTCCCCCAAATTACTTATTCTCTCAGCACAGGAGAAATCTACATATTTAACCATCGGAAAGACTTTTAAGGAGCAGTCTAGTTTATTATTTTATTTTATTTTTTTTGGAGAGGTGTTTTTTTTTTTGTTATAGGGCGTGGGTGCTTGCCAGACAGACAGAGAGAGAGACAGAGAGACAGAAAGCGAGAAATCACCCCCTGGGGGGATGGCCATGCTGCAAGCCCTTCTCCTCCATTCTCTCGGGATCTTGGGCATGCATGCACACGTGCTCGGTGTGAGTTTCAAGCCACCGGGTCCGGGACGCAAACCGCGGTTGACTCCATGGGAGTCCAGCGACATAGCCATTACACTAACTGCTGGTCCCCTGAATTATTTTTGAGTCCAGAAAAAAAACAGCATTCACACTCATTATGACTATGTAATTTCTTCCTTTCTTTTAGATTTTTTTGCCACAGGGTGCTTGTGCTCACTAGAGAGAGACAGAAACTGAAAGAAGGAGAGTGCAAAATCACCCCCAGGAAGGATGGCCATGCTGCCAGTCCCTTCTCCTCCATTCTCCTCTCTGGACTTTGGGCACGCATGCACACGTGCCTGGCAAGATTTCAAGCCACTAGTCTGGACTTGAACCACAGTCAGGTGTTTGGGAGTCCAGCACCTTAACCACCATGCCATCTGCTGGCCCAAAATTAGCTCTTAAAGGCCTGGTTTGGAGACTAAATTAGCGATCTAATTTACATAATTATGTGGGAACAGGGTCGTGAATGGTCCCTGTCACACATAACTAGGAAGAGCTATGTTGAGCATGTTTTCATATTTGCGTGTGGATATAAGTAATGCCCTTACATAGAAGTTTCACTGAGGACCTAAGGGTGCCTCATAAGATGAACAGAAGAGCTTCCTGGATTTCTCATCTGCCTCTTTTCTGGATTCGTTCTGTTCTAAGGATGGCTTCTGTATCAGATTGTTAGAGCTGTTCTTTCTCAACCCTTCCTTGTATCAGGTTAAGAATGGAGTTTGTGGACCAGCAGTTAGCATAATGGCTATGTCACTGGACTCCCATGTAGTCAACCGCGGTTCAAGTTCCGGGCCCAGTGGCATAAACTCATACCGGGCGCATGTGCGTGCGTGCCCAGGATCCCGAGAGGAGAATGGAGAAGGGATTGCGGCGTGGCCGTCCCCCCTGGGGGGTGATTTCTCACTTTGTGTCTCTCTGTCTAGCAAGCACATGTGCCCTGTAGCAAAAACCTCTTAAAAAGAATGGAGTTTGAAAGCTGTGAAGAAAACATTCACAAAGTGCGAAAGGACAGAAAGCATGCAGGCTATCCGCAGAATAGCGAATTGGCTGGAGTCGGTCACTGTTGTCGGTAAACTCAAACATAGGCATGAATTACCTACAGGCTGAGCATTGGCTGGCATTTTGGCCTTTGCCTTTCTTAAAAATGAGCAAGTTCTTTTAAATGGCTCTGAAATTGGGAGTTGGCCTGCTGCTGCGTGTGTGCAGTGCCGCCCACTTTGTGTGCCTGAGTGCATTCATGCTGGATGTCAGCATGTCGGTGCGACTAATCCGAGATTTAAACTCCTCCTGTCCTGACTTCATTCACGTGCTGTATGTGCTAGTCTGTCGTCACATTTACATAGTTGTGTACCTGCCGTGTTACGCCCACCCTTCCCGACAGTTGTCACGTGAAACGTTCCTTTGCAGAGCCCACTGTATTTGCTTTGCTTTTCATCATTCCCATTTTGTGCAGCTTCTGCAGTTGGACAGTGGTGGTGTACTATGAAAATGGTTGAATGGCGGTGGTGTACCGTGGCGGTGGCGAACCATGGCATGGTGAACCGTGGCATGGTGAACTGTGGCGTGGCGAACCATGGCGGTGGTATACTATGAAAATGGCTTATGGACAGACGACTCTTTTGCCCCTGCCTTGCTAGGAGAGTTGGTTAAATAAGTAATTCGTGGTTGACTTATATGTTAAATGTGTATTGAATGTACTAAATTTATCTTACTGCTTTTTAATTTAGAACGATTTCAAAACTCGAAGCCCAAGTGAAGCAAGTAGAGCATGAAAATCTGTTAAGTCGTCATAATTCTAAAATCCACACGAGACCCTCACGTGCCAAGTAAGTCACTGATTTCATCTCTAAGCCAGAAGTTGACGTCCGTTTCTATTAAAATGAGAAGCTTGGGCCAGCCCTGTAGCTTAATGGTTAAGGGGAAGCCAGATGTTACACGCCAACTGTGGTTCCAGTCTCAGCCCCTGTGGCTTGAAAAACACTAGGCGCATATGCACACCCAAAATCTTGATGTGGTTGAGAGATGGAGAAGGGACTGTAGTGTGACCGCACGCCGCATTCCCCCCTCCATCTGTCTCTGTTGAGCATACATGCCCTCCTGCAATTAAAAAAAATAATAATGAGGGACTAGCAGGTGGCGTAACGGTTACATTGCTGGACTTCCACGTAGTAGACTGCAGTTTGTGTCCTGGACCTGGTGGCTTCAGGCTCACACTGGGCACGTGTGTGTGCATGCCCATGATCCCGAGAGGAGAGCAGAGGATTGCAGTGTGGCCATTCCCCCTTGTGGGGTAACTTCTCACTTTCTGTTTCCCTGTCTCTGTGTGTGTCTCTGGCGAGCACACGTTCCCAAGAGCAAAAACCTCTCTTAAAAGAAAAACAGGGGACTTGCAGTTGGCGTAATGACTTTGTCTCTGGACTCCTATGTAGTCAACATGGTTCGAGTCCCAGACCCAGAAGCTTAAACTCACACCAGGCGCATGTATATGTGTGCCCAAGATCCTGGGAGGAGAATAGAGGAGAAGGGATTGTGGTGTGGCCATTCCCCTGGGGTATGATTTCTCACTTTCTGTCTCTCTGTCTCTCTGGCGAGTGTACACGCCCTATAGCAAAACCTCTCCAAGAAAAAAAAGCAAACCCTCCCCAAGAAAAAAAAAAAAGGAAGGGACCAGCAGATGGCGTGGTGGCTAAGGGACTCTCACATAGCTGTCGTGGTTCCAGTCTCGCACCTATGGCTTGCTTTCTCACATTCTCTCTCACTCACTCACTCACTCTGTCCCTCTCTGGTCAGATTTTTAAAAAATAAGTTAAAATAATTAAAAAAAAAAAAACGGAAATCTCAAAATCAACATTAAATATCATTATAGAACTTGTACAGACAATTTAGTTACTGGCTATTGTAAATGCCCTTATGCAGAGGCTGTGGCCAGAATGTGAATATGGGAGGATCAGGTTGTCATTTAGGAGACTGGAATGTGTTTTTTTTTTTTTTTTTAAAGAATTATTTTTTTTAACTTTATTTTAATTTGACCAGGGAGAGACAGAGTGAGTGAAGGAGAGAGTGAGAAAGAAAGCCACCAGGTCTGGGACTTGAACTGTGGTCGGCCATGTGGGAGTCCAGCGTCCTTAACCACCACACCACCTGCCAGCCCCTGGAATGTGTTTTTTGAGTTTGCTCAGCTCTGCGACCTCAGGCCAATACCTTACTCTTTTTAAAGCTCACTCAAATTGTAAAAACATACAACTGGTGGTTAGGGCGTAGCCTGGTGGTTAGGGCAGCTGAATACTATATGGCCTGCTGTTTGATTCTAGTCCTGGACCCAGTGGCTTAAAAAACACGCTGGGTGTGTGAACATGCATGCCCCAAATCCCGAGAGTGGAGGAGAAAGGATTGTGGTGTGGCCATTCACCCTGGAGGGTGACTTCACACTTTCTCTCACCCCCTCTCTCTCCCCCCTTCTCCACCAGTGAGCGCATGTGCCTTATGGCAAAAATCTAAAAAAGATGTTTTAAGTCTAAAGTATGAGGGGCCAGTAGGTAGAGTAGCGATAAGACACTGGACTCCCACGTGGCTTACCATGGTTCAAGTGCCCCCAGTAGGTCTCACACCACGCCCCTTCCCGAGCCTTCCTAGCAGCCAGCACCATGGGGATATGTGTGCAGGCCTGAACCAAGTCCCAGCCTTTGTGTGACTCCAGCACTGCAACTGGGCCAGTACCTGTATCCTGACTGCTGGACATACCCAGAGTAACAAACCTAAGATCACAATGCAGTTGAATCTTTTTAAAGATTTTCTAAAAAAGAATTATTTTATTTATTATCATCATTTTTTCATTTAAGCAGAGAGAGAGTGAGTGAGAAGGAAAGACAAAGCAAGCTCCCAGGTCCAGGACTTGAACCATGGTCGGCCCTGTGGGAATCCAGCACCTTAACCACCACGCTACCTGCTAGCCTGGTGACTGAATCTTAAGCCAGGTTTCTGAAGTATAAATAGTCATGTGTGGATTTTCTTTTTCTTTTTCTTTTCTTTTTTTTTTTTAAGAGATTTTTTTGCTATAGGGCATCTTCGTTTACTAGTGAGAGAGTCAGAAAGTAAGAATTTATCCCCCAAGGGGGATGGCCATGCCACAATCCCTTCTCTATTCTCCTCTCAGGATTTTGAGCAAACACACACACACGCCTGGTGTGAGTTTTAAGCTACCGGGTCCAGGATTCGAATCGTGACTGACTACATAGGAGTCCAACAGTGTAACCATTCCATCATCTGCTGGTCCCAGTCATGTGTGAATTTTCAGTTACCTACACATATGTAAGTGTGCACCTTACGACACGACACTTGGCGTGTTTCTCCTTCCAACAGCACCCTGGCAACTTCTGATGTCAGCAGGCGGAAGTGGCTGATACCTGGTGCAGAGTACTCCATCTTCACTGGCCAGCCCTTGGGCATCCAGGACAGTCCCGTGGACAGCCTGCCGGAGGACCCCCGGGTCCCTGGGTAAGAGCTTTGCCAAGAGGCCTGCTGACGTGTGTTATGTTCTCTTAGATTTTGATTATGGTTGCCTTTAAATGTTCAGAAAGGCACAAAGAGCCTGACTCAGGTTTCTTTCTCATTGTCTTTTTTTTTGGGAGTGGGGAGAAAAAAGCTATGGGGCTTGTGCTCACTGGAGAGACAGAGAGCGAGACATGACTCCCCAGAGGGGTTGGCCACACCGCATTCCCTTCTTCCCTATTCTCCTCTTAGGAGTTTGGGCATGCGTGCACACAGACATATCAGCATGATTTTCAAGCCACTGGGTCTGGGACTTGAACTAAATTTGGGTATGTGAGAGTCCAGAGCCTTAACCACTGTGCCACTTGCTGACCCCAGTTTTTTAATGTCTTTATATGAAGGACCTACTTTTTATTTCACTTTGACAGGCTAAATCTTGAGGGTATTTTTCTTCTATGAGCTCTGCAGAGCTTCCCTGGGTTTGCAGTCAGGATGAGATGTTAGCCCCGAGCCCCATCAGCTCCCTGAGCCGGGTACCCCAGAGCACCACGCACACTGCACATCTCTGTGCGGGATGTTAGAGGTTGGGCAGCACTGGCTTACGGTGCACGGGTTATTTTAATCCAGTCGCAGTGCATAGTGGGTGTGGGCATCGTGAAGTGCGGCCGTCACCTCAGGCCTTAGCAGCCCGGGCAGCTGCGTGTCTTGTCAGCCGGGGTTGCACTCACAGACCATTGCATGGGGCGCCCTCCACAGCAGTGTTCATTCCTCAGGGCTCTTGATCTGGGGGTCCACCATCAGGGTGCCAGCCTGGCTGGGTTCTCGGTAGGTCCCTCTTCTTGGCAGTGTCCTCACGTGGCCTGTCCATGGGGTGTGTGCATGCAGAGAGCTCTGGGGCTTCTTCCTCTTTTTATGAGGGCATCAATCCCGTCGTGGGGGCACCACCCCCTGCCTCATCCCACCCCAAAGGCCTCCCAGAGAGTCAGACCTGGTCTGAGGAGCGGCAGCTGTGGGCCCAGAGGCCAGAGAGTACCAGGTGGGGGCCTGGCTCCCCAGAGGACTCCTGGGATTCTGCACAGAGTGACCCAGTGGAGGCGGGGGACAAGATAGGCCCCCAATTCCAAGAGCCGGGGTGTGCATGCTGGATGGATTGAGGAGGAGGTTTTCATGGACCACCTGTCCACTTCCAAGCCCAGGCCAGGCTCCCTGTGACTTGGAGAGTGTTTCCAGCCCCCACCCAGCTCCTCCCTCTGCCTCCCACAGGAAGGCCCGCAGAGGCCGTGTGCACTTACCTGCTGTAGGCAGCCAAGTGAGAGGCATCCCAGTCCCCATCAGACCCGTCTTCAGCAGGCATGCCATCCTCCACCATGTCTTCTCTTACTATTTAAGGTGCCAGTCTCCTCCGGAAAAGGACTCTTCTTCACCTGGATGTTCTCCATCAAGCTTATTGATGAAAAAACAGAGAGAGACTTCAGACTCACCGATCATGAAAGCTTTAAAGGAACTTGATGAAGAAAAAATATTTAAAAGTTGGGGGACACAGACAGAGAAGGAGGATACCTCAAATAGTAAGTTTATATTACTGCTTATTAGATGTGGACGGCTAGATGTAGATTACCCCACCCCAGTTACATTGCCATCTTTTTTGTTTGTTTGTTTTTTGTTTTTTGGAGAGGTTTCCGCTATAGGGCGTGTGCACTCGCCAGACAGAAAGAGAGAGACATAGAGGCAGAAAGCGAGAAATCACCCCCCAGGGGAGATGGTCACGCCACAATCCCTTCTCCTCCATTCTCCTCTCTGGATCTTGGGCACACACGCACACGCGCCCGGCGTGAGTTTTAAGCCACCTGGTCCGGGACGCGAACCGCGGTCAACTACGTGGGAGTCCAGCGACATAGCCCCCCACCCAGCTCCTCCCTCTGCCTCCCACAGGAAGGCCCGCAGAGGCCGTGTGCACTTACCTGCTGTAGGCAGCCAAGTGAGAGGCATCCCAGTCCCCATCAGACCCGTCTTCAGCAGGCATGCCATCCTCCACCATGTCTTCTCTTACTATTTAAGGTGCCAGTCTCCTCCGGAAAAGGACTCTTCTTCACCTGGATGTTCTCCATCAAGCTTATTGATGAAAAAACAGAGAGAGACTTCAGACTCACCGATCATGAAAGCTTTAAAGGAACTTGATGAAGAAAAAATATTTAAAAGTTGGGGGACACAGACAGAGAAGGAGGATACCTCAAATAGTAAGTTTATATTACTGCTTATTAGATGTGGACGGCTAGATGTAGATTACCCCACCCCAGTTACATTGCCATCTTTTTTGTTTGTTTGTTTTTTGTTTTTTGGAGAGGTTTCCGCTATAGGGCGCGTGCACTCGCCAGACAGAAAGAGAGAGACATAGAGGCAGAAAGCGAGAAATCACCCCCCAGGGGAGATGGTCACGCCACAATCCCTTCTCCTCCATTCTCCTCTCTGGATCTTGGGCACACACGCACACGCGCCCGGCGTGAGTTTTAAGCCACCTGGTCCGGGACGCGAACCGCGGTCAACTACGTGGGAGTCCAGCGACATAGCCATTACGCTAACTGCTGGTTCCCTACATTGCCATCTTTAAATCCCTCAGGTGGGTGGTGAAATGAAAAGGTACCTGCTTTTACTGCATCCCCTAGTTAATCGTTTAGCACAGCCCTGGCATAGCACAGTTTTGATGCAGTGTAAGTGCATGTTCCATTTACATTCTGATTATTAAAAAGAGCCACATGACATTCTTGAGGGTATTTGTAAAACTTTCCCTGTCAGTTTGTCTTACTTGCACACATCAGAAAGTTTTGTTTGTTGGAGAGAGATTTTTGCTATAGGGTATGTGTGCTCGACAGAGAGATAGAGAAAGAGACAGAGAGATAGAAAGTGAGAAATCACCCCCCAGCAGGGATGGCCATGCCACAGTCCCTTCTCTTCCATTTTTTTCGGGATCTTCGGCACACATGCACACACGCCCGGCATGAGTTTTAAACTGCCCGGTCCAGAGCCGCGTTTGACTACATGGGAGTCCAGCAATGTAACCATAACGCCATCTTCTGGTCCCCATGTCAGAAAGTTTGACAGGCATTGGTATTCATAATGTGAGATGTAACATTTTCTTTTTCTCTTTCTTCTTTTAAAAATTTTTTCCAGAGGGTGGTTGTGCTCACTGTAGAGAAACAGAGAGACAGGGAAAGCAAAAAAGCAGTCTCCCGTGGAGAATGGTGTGCTACGGCCTCCTCCACCTCCCTTCCCTTTGGGATTTCGGGTATGCACACATACCCAGCATTTTTTTTCCTTTTAGAAATAAAAATTATTTAATTGTATTAATTATTATTATTATTATTGTTGTCATTATTCGTTACAGGATACATGTGCGAGAGAGAGAGACAGACAGCTAGCCAGCAGGGCCAAGGCTCAGACAGCAGTCGGCTGTGTGGGAGTCCAGCGCCTTAGCCACCATGCCTGCTGGTCCCACTAGGCATATTTGTCATCTGTGCAGTTGGCCGTGTGTGCTCCAGCTCACATAAGCACCAGGGAGTGGGCTGACTCCGTTTCTGTTCTTTCTCTCCTTTCTTGGTTACTGAGCTCCTATAGATAGGGCAAAAAGTATCTATCTATCTATCTATCTATCTATTTATTTATTGGAGAGGTTTTTGCTATAGGGTGCGTGCACTAGCCAGAAAGAGAAAGACAGAGACAGAAAGCAAGAAATTACCCCCTAGGGAGGATGGCCATGCTGCAAATCCCTTCTCCTCCATTCTCCTCTCGGGATCTTGGGCACACATGTCCGGTGTGAGTTTAAGCCACCGGATCCAGGACTTGAACCGTAGTCAACTACATGGGAGTCCAACGACATAGCCATTATGCCAACTGCTGGTCCCCCTCTTTTTTTTTTTTTTTAAAGTTGTTTTATTTCTTAGAAAAGCATACTCCCTTCCAAGACCCCGTGCCTGACCTGGCTCGCAGCCTCCCCAGATGGGTCTCGAGTGCCCCTCTGTACAGGAACTGAGCCCCAGCCTCCCACAGGGCTTCCAGCATTCCAGGTCACATTATCCTCGCACCCCTCGGCCGGCCATGGACGCTTCTGCTGCCGGCGTGGTAGTCAGCTCACCTTCCGCACTGGGGCTGTGTCTCCTAGTAAATGAGTTAGCACTCTGCTCTCTAAAAGGGACCTGTGAGGGACTAGCAGGCGGCGCAATGGCTTTGTCACTGGACTCCCACGTAGTCAACCGTGGTTCAAGTCTCGGACCCAGCGGCTTAAAACTCATGCTGGGTGAGTGTGCATGCATGCCCAAAATCCCAAGAGGAGAATAGAGGTGAAGGGATTGTGGTGGGGCCATCCCCGTGGGGGGTGATTTCTCGCTTTCTGTCTCTCCGGCAAGTGTACGCCGCCTATAGCAAAAATCTCTCTCAATAAAAAAAAAAACAAAGGAACCTGTGAAAAATCATCTTGAATGCCTATCGTAAACAGAGAACCAAATGAATTTTATTAGAAATGTCCTCGTTTTTCTTTATAAAACATTTTTAAAAATCGTTATTATGGGGTGCATTTGCCAGTAATCACGCCAGCTGAGGTGGTGGGAGTTCTGCCCTGTGGGGGCCTGAGCTCAGCGGAAGCCTTGCTTGGTGTGACTGCGTGTGAGTAAAGGCAGGTCACCAAAGCGCGGCTTGCTGGGCTTTTCTCTTCTTTCTTTTTTGGATGTTTGCCTCATCTAGAATCAGTGAGTCCTCGGCAGACTGAAACGGCAGCCAGTGCAGGTGGGTCCCCAGAGAAGTGTGCTCAGCAGAGACAGAAGAGATGCACGCCCGCCGCACAGAGGTCGTCCTCCCTGCCGCCGTCGGCTCGCAAGGCCAGCACTCCAAGTAAGACTCAGCACGCGTCTGGGTGCAGGGCCTGGCGGCTGCACTTATCCCATCCCTCATGCACACCCCTCGGTGCCTCGTGGTGTTCTGAGCACAGGGTCCCCGAACTCAGTTGTAGCCATGGAGTAGTCTGATCACACAGACACCGAGAGCCTTTCTGTGTGTGCAGTAGGTGGCGTTGGTAGACCCCGACCTACAGCAGTATGAAGCCCGACGCGTCAGTCCAGGCTTCTCTGAAGGGAGAAGGTCTCGTCAAGTCCCGACCGCAGGCACTCAGCAGCAGCCACCTCCTTCCTCAGTCAGCTGCAGGGTCGGTTTTAAAGTGGACGTGGTGCATTCTGCCCTCAGCCCCCATTTTCACACCCGCCGAAGCCGAAGCCGTCTCTTACCCCATGTTACAGAAGTGCTCGCTGCTGCCTGCTGCTGCCCTGGCGTCTCCACCTCATTTCCACTCCAATTCTAAAATCCTGAAAAACCAGTTTTGAGTCACAGTGTTGAATCTGCAGTCTGATACACTAAAATGTTCACAGTGGTTCCCTGTAGATGTTGGGGTTATGGATTATTTTATAGGCTTTCTCCCCAAAGGTGTAAGATGAAGCTGTATTCCTTTTAACATTAGAAAAGAAGCACTCTACTGAAAAACTGTGTTCTGCCCATATAATATAGAGAGGAGGAATATACATCTCTTCTTCATTTTCTTCTTTAGCAAAAAGAGAGATTATGTTAACACCAGTGACTGTGGCTTATAGTCCCAAGCGGTCCCCTAGAGAAAACTTGTCCACAGGATTTAGTCATCTACTTAGCAAAAACGAAAGCAGTCCAATTCGGTAAGTCCTCTGAAATCGTACGATAAAATAAATACGGTGTCGATTTTTCCCGAATGTCAGCTCATGCCTCTAGCTGCCACTGCTTTTCAGTGGGACTCTGAGGGTTTAAATCATTTGACTGAACGTCACACTCACGGTGACACATTTGAGACGTGAAGACGGTTTTTCCGGCGTAAACTTGCCACCATTGGTTAAATGCCGCCTCTGTTCCTCACCCAGCTTTTGGGTGTAGACTGATAGTTCTCCGTTTTCCCAAAGAGGTTTAGGACACGAAAATTTTTGAGCCATTTTTTCAAGACAGTGGGTCCACACTGGTCTGGGCCTGGTGCTCGCTGACAGTCACTCTCGCTGCCGTCCCTGGACTGTGGGCAGCAGTGTGTGCTGTGGCAGGAAGGACGTGCCTCCTGATTCTAGGCCCAGCCCCGCCACGCTCTGGGAGTCCCCTTGACTAACCGAGCCCGTTTCCCCTTCTCTAAGGCAGGGGCCATGCCGCCTGCCCTGCTTAACTTCATGGGGCTGTTAGAAAGAATGGGGAAATGCTTTAAGGCTCTAGTGTGCAAATATTAATTTATATTAGAAATTAAATTTCAGTTTTAGAAAATTATATGCTTACTTTTCTATAAGGAAATACGTCAGCATGTGAGTTGACTGAAGTGCCAGTTCGTCTTTCTAGTGGACATAGGGAAAATCAGTTCATATTTTTTCTCACAAGTAACTTGCTTCATTCAATAGATTTGATATACTTTTGGATGATTTAGATACTGTTCCCGTGTCTACATTACAACGCGCCAACCCGAGAAAACAACTCCAGTTTCTTCCTCTAGATGACTCAGAAGGTATCTTCTAAAGAACTCTTCGTTACGGTTTTAGCTATTCATTATTCTGAGATTCCAATATCTATTCCAGTCTTCTTTTCAAGGGTCTAAATATTGGGCTGTTGGAAAAGTCAGGATGTAATTTTCTGTGTTTTTCTATCCAAAAATGTGTTAGGACTTTTCCAACGACCCAGTATTATTCGGAATGGCCCTGCAGCCTAGTGGTGAAGGAGCTGGATCCCACGTGGCCGACCCTGCAGTGGAGATCCTGGCCCTCAGTGCTTGAAAGACAGACTAGGCCCACATGCATGGGTGCCCTCTTGCCAGCAGGATGGAGAGATGGAGGAGGAAGAATTGCAGTGTGACCGCCCCAGCGGGTTGCTTTCTCCTTTCCTCTTACTCTTTTGTCTGTCTCTGGGGTGTACTTGCCCCCTAGCAGTTTCAGAGCTACAGTATTTAATAATATCCTACACTTGGACTGGCTCCCGAAGCCAGCTAGACCCTGCATGCCTGGCTGTGGTTCAAATCCCAAACCTAGCAGCGTAAAACACATGAGAGGTGCATACGCGTGTGTGCCCGAAATCTCCAAAAGAGCGAGAGATGGAAGAACAGAGATGGTGACGTGACCGCTCTTTGGGGTTGCTTCCTCCTCTGCCCCTCTCTGGGGAGTGCAGGCATTCTCCAGCCAAAATAGTAGTATCCCATGCTTAAATATTTTTCCCTGGGGACCAGCAGGTGGCATGGTGATTAAGGTGCTGGACACTCCTACATGGCCAACGACAGTTCAAGTCCTGGACCTGGTGGCTTGCTTTCTCACTTCTCTCTCTCTCTCTCTCTTTCTCTCTGGTCACATTAAAATGAAGAATGAATGAATAAATAAATAAATTAATTATAAAATATTTTTCCCTCAAAGGGTCTCTAAACAAGCATTCTTTTTTTTTTTTGGAGATATTTTTGCTATAGGGCACATGCGCTCACCAGAGAGAGAGAGAGAGACAGAGAGATAGAAAGTGAGAAATCACCACCCCCTCACACACTCCCCCCCAGGGAGGATGGCCACGCCTCAATCCCTTCTCCTCCATTCTCCTCTCAGGATCTTGGGCACGCACGCAAATGCACCAGGCATGAGATTAAGTCACCAGGTCTGGGACTCGAACCGCGGTCTACTACATGGGAGTCCAGTGACATAGCCGTTACGCTAACTCCTGGTCCCTAAACAAGCATTCTTGATGCTTCATGTTGTTATGTCTGTGTTGTCCCCATTGGGGAATTGGGGCACCTGCCCCTTCATACAGCAGTTAAGTTGGATCCCATGTGGCCAATGTGATTAGAGTCCTGGCTCTGGCAGCTTGGCCATGCAGGCACAAGTGTGTGTGTGTCCAGAGTTCTCACGGGACGGAGAGATGGAAGGAGGAGGGGCTTGCAGGGTGACCGTGCCCAGGTGAGGATGTGTTCTCTCGCTTTCTCTGTGAGTGCAGACTCTTGACAGTGGAAGGAGAGCAGCTGAGAACTGAGGTGCGGAGAATGTCCATGTTTTGTTACCGGGGCCATGCTATCTCATCACTCTCTATACTTCTGTGCTGTATAGTGTATGTGCAGTTTAGGCTCCGGGTAACACTTTCTTCCCCCTCACATGACATTTAGAGTAAAGGTATGAGTGTGTGAAATCACTCAGGCAGGCCCCCAGAGTCCTAATGTTGGTGTTGATGAATGTCTACTAAATGGGCATGTTGTTTAGTTTTATTGTTTTAGTTTTTGCTTTTGTTTTTTGTTTTGGCCAGAGGTTGCATGTGCTTGCCAGAAAGAGACAGACAGGGAGAGGGGAAACAAACCCTATGGGAAATGGTCACGCCACAGTCTTCTATCGCTCTCTCCTTTCAGGATTGTGGGTGTGCACACCCACACTCTCCCAGCGTGTTCCTCAAGTGGCTGGGTCTGAGACTTGAACCATGCAGTTGGCCACATGGGATCTGGCTGGCTGAAACCACCAGGCCACAGAGCTGCCTCTGATACTAGTTCTTTCTTTTCTTTCTTTTTTTTTTTTTAAAGAATTATTTGTTTAATTTTATTTATTCATTTATTTTAATTTGACCAGAGAGAGACACATGCACACAGATCAAGAGGGAAAGTAAGAAAGCAAGCTTCCAGGTCCTGGACTTGAACTGTGGTCTGCCATGTGGGAGTGTCCAGTGCCTTCAACACCATGCCACCTGCTGGCCCCAATATTAGTTTTTAAACTGCCCCCTCTTTCTTTATGTCTGCATCAAGCTTGCTTAACTTCATTTAGGGAAGTTGTGAAGATGATCAAACTGAGGGCGGTTTTTGGAATTCTCTGGAGAAAGACCACTGGGTAAATGCGATTAGCTGCTTACCATTTTCCAGTACTTTTTCGGGCTGTCTCTGAGCTATTTGTAGAAAATGAAGTTGGGCAACACATCTAAGATATTTATGAGCTTTTGGAAAAATGGCTAAGAAATGTCTTTCTTTCCTCTGACAGAAAAACGCTATGCGGAGCAGGACACCGGCAGCCATGTTCAGCATGGCTCTCGCCCTGAGCCGTGGTCCCCCGGGATGAAGCAAGCGTCTGTGCGCGCGGCCTGGGAGAGGAGTGGCCCGCTGAGCCAGGAGCAGAGCGAGCCCGTCTCGGTCACGCCACGGGGTGACGGTTTTGAGTACACAGCCAAAATCAGGACCCTGGCTGAGACGGAGCGATTTTTTGATGAACTTACAAAAGAAAAGGACCAGGTAAAAGCAAACAAAGGTATTTGGAAAACATTTTTATTTTCTGAACATAATGCTTTTGTCTAAGGAATAGTCAGAAAGGAATTACTGAGTCAAGCCTATCTCGGGGAATTTCCAGAGTTGCCCAGGAGTGTATTTGCGTCATGCTGTCATTACTAGTTGGTGACAGACGAGAGTTACATTAAGACAAAGCGAACGAGGAGGTACCCCGCGGAAATCCTTTCTCTCCACGCTGTGACAAAGCTCGCTGCCGACGAGTAGCCTCTCTCTCACGCAGACGTTTTTCGTGTTGCAGATTGAAGCGGCACTAAGCCGAATGCCTTCTCCTGGCGCACGGGCCACTTTACAGACGCGACTGCATCAGGTGAGCTTCCGTAGCTTCCGCCTGCTCTCCAGGCCAGGGCTCGCGGTGCCCTGCTCACCCCGGGGCGCAGTCCCAGGCTCACTGGCCGCAGTCGAGGCCCGAGGCCTTTGCAGGAGTGTTTGGTGACTGAGTGCTGTAGAGCTGCATGCTGGCTTTCAGGTGAAGGCTGGTTTGACCTTCAGACCTCAAGGAAAAAGTGTTCATGCCATTATTTTAATAGTTTTTCAGAGTTTTTTGCCCTAGGGCATGTATGCTCGCCAGAGACAGACAGAGACAGAGATAAAATGAGAAGTCTCCCCCAGGAGTGGCCGCGCCACACTCCCTTCTCCAGGGATTTGAGCACGCGTGTACTCGCGCCCGGCCTGAGTTTTAGGCTGAACCGCAGTCAGCTATGTGGGATCCAGCGATGTAACCATTTCTCCATCTGCTGGGCCCCAGGCTGTTATATACATGCTTTTTCTTTTTTTAAATAATACTTTTTAAATTTGACTTTATTTATTATTTTCCAATTTGATCAGAGAGAGAGAAAGAGAAAGAAAGGGAAAGTGAGAAAGCAAGCCACCGGGTCTGAGACTCAAACCACGGTCGGCCATGTGGGAGTCCAGTGCCTTTACCACCATGCCACCTGTGGGCCCCATGCCATTATATTTTTTAGAAACAAACTTGGGAACAAAAACAGGTGCACGCTGTGAACCCAGTGCGCCACAGGAAGTCTCTCTCCTGTTTGGTCCCTCCCTCTAACCCGTCACTCACTTCTGAACCCTTGTCTGTGCAGTGAGCACAGCAGACACGTTGCCCTTCGCAACTGTGATGGCTGTGGGTGTCGGAGAGGGGGCGGGCCGAGGGGGCGGCAGCGCCTTTATCAAACAGGAGGTGATGCAGGCGGCAGGGCCCGTGAGCACTGCTTTTAGTCGCTCTCCCAGAGAATTAAAATGCATGAAACCGCGGGACATCTAAGTCTGCTCTTCTCGTAACATTTTAAACATAGCAGCAAGAGGGTAGCTCTTACATAACTACATGTTTTGGCTTTTCAGTGCCGTCCCTTCAGTAAAAGCTCATTTTCAGGCTCATCTGTTATATCAGAAAGACAGACACAAAGAAACTAGCAGAAGTCTTTTTCTGGGGCCTGTATGTGTCCCTCACTTCTCTTTCACTATGACTTTTTTGTTTGTTTGTTTTTTTTTTTGAGAGGTTTTTGCTATAGGGCGTGTGCACTCACCAGAGAGACAGAGAGAGAGAGACACAAAGCAAGAAATCACCCCCGGGGGGGTATGGCCACGCCACAATCCCTTCTCCATTCTCCTCTCGGGATCTTGGGCATGCACGCACACGCGCCTGGCGTGAGTTCAAGCCAGCGGGTCTGGGACTCAAATTGCAGTCGACTACATGGGAGTCCAATGACATAGCTATTACGCCATCTGCTGGACCCTGACTTTTTTTTTTTTTAAAAGTAGGGCATCTCTGTTGATATCTGTATGCCTCATTCAGCCTGAGCCTCTCCTTTTTTTTTTTTTTTTTTGCTATAGAGTGTATGCGCTCACCAGAGAGAGAAGAAAGAGATTGCTTCTCCGTGCCCCACGAGGGAGATGGCCAGGCCACTGTCCCTTGTCCTCCATTCTCCTCTCAGAACTTTGGGTACACATGCCTGGCATGATTTTCTTTTCTTTTTTTTAAAGAACTATTTTATTGAACTGACTGTATTTATTTACCCTAAGAGAGAAAGAGAAGGCAAGCTGCCAGGTCCTGGACTCAATGTGGTCAGCCATGTGGGAGTCAACACTCCTAACCACCACGCCACCTGCCAGCCCCAGTGCCTGGCATAGTTTTCAAGCTGCCGGGTCCAGGACTTGAACCGTGGTCAACCATGTGGGAGTCCAGTGCCCTTAAGCACCTCGCCAGCTGCTGGCCCAGCTTTGGTGTGACTGTGTGGCCCTCACTGGCTGTGAACTCATGATCTTCCCGCCTCAGCCTCCGGAATGACTGGAACTGCGGCGTGCGCTGCGTCCTGGCTCTGACGTTGGGCTGGGGACGGAGCCTGGGGCTCGGCACGGCCTCCACCTGTGGGACGGCAGCGCCAGCCAGCGCCAGCCAGCGCCAGCCAGCGCATGGGACCCCAGCTGCACCCCACATCCTTCTGCTTTTGCTTTTGTTCTGAAAAACAAATTCTATTTAATATTTTTTCCTTTTTATTTATTCAGTAATTCATAAGACTTCATTAACAATGAAACGCCTCTTAAAATATTGTATGGGCCCAGCAGGTAGTGCAGTGGGTAAGGCATTGGACTTCTGATGTGGCCTACCACAGTTTGAGTCCTGGACCCAGCCGCTTGAAAATCATGCCAGGTGAATGTGCATGCGAGCCCAACATCTTGAGAGGAGAAAGGATTATGGTGTGGCCAGACCCCCGGGAGGTGGTTTCTCACTTTTCTCTCTCTGTCTCTCTCCGGCTAGCATATGTGCCCTATGGCGAAAACTTTAAAAAAAAAAAAAAAAAAAAGTATCAGGAAAGCAGACAGAAAACTTGATACTCCAATTTGAACTCAAATGTGAAGTATGTGTATAATGTAATTAATAGAATGAACACACATTTTAATATAACGAAGTTCCTTATGGCCCTTAAAGTGAGACGTGAATGGTGTTAGTGTCCATTCTGCTCCATCAGAGCTGATTCAGGCCAGTAAGAAGACAATGGCAGCCTAGCGGGGGCTGAGGGCGCCGTGCCTGACTTCGAAACTTCTTTTTTTAATTGCCAGAGGGTGCATTTACTCACCCGATAAACAGAGAGGAGGGGAAAACAACCACCGCAATGAGCTGTGGTCATGCCACAGTCCCTTCTCTTCCACCTGTCGAGATTTGGGGGTGTGCACGCTTGCCCAGCATGTATTTCAAGACTCGGGGGCTGGGATTTGAACAGTGGGTGGCCATGTGGGATCCAGCTACCTTTAGAGCAGGAAAATTGCTTGATACGTGTGTACGTGGGAGATGCAGCGAGATGTGCCCGTTTCTTAGATGTGCGAAGCATCTCCCAAATTCCTCCTGCCTGCTCTCAGTCCGGCAAGGTCCACGAGCGACCCTCTCAGGTCTCTGGGCCGCCAGTGCTAACGTCCCTGGGCTCATGTGTCGAATGTACTGAGGTTGCTTTAACTGCAGTCACTCCGAAAAGTCGGTTCATGTTGTTCAGTTTAAAGAAAATACATAAACGGTACGATTCGTGTAGAAACCAAAACAGTTTCCTGTAAGTTTACACTTACACTCGCTCTTTCGCTAAGAGGTCAGCTTGGTGGTAGTTACAGACCTGCGGAGCTTGATGTAGACTTCTCTAACCTGGCCTTTTCCGTTCTTTTCACCCAGGAAGCCTTGGAAGATCGGCTGGAAAGGATTAATCGAGAACTGGGTTCAGTTCGCATGACACTAAAGAAATTCCACGTTTTGCGCACTTCTGCAAATCTTTGAGATTTGTCGCCATTAAATTTTGAGGCATTTGTGTTGCACTAATGTATAATTATGCACTCCGAGAAGGCAAGCTATTTTGTACTGTTTCTACGCCTTCAGATGGTAGTTTACAATCATGCTGTTCTTACACTTGCTCTTTTATACTTCAAATGGCCACATAGTTTCAAGATATTTTTGTTATGCTCAGGAATCTCTTGTATATTTTACTATTTAAAAAACATTATTTTTAAATAGTATATGTCTCCAGTTTATACCAAGGATAAGGAACGTAAATGGGGAGGCAGCTCATTTCTAAACAATAGTGTTATCCTTTTATGACTCACTTTGCACACCGGTTTTATACACATGTTCTACATTGTAAATATCCACTTTTTAAAAAATAAATGCTTACCAGCAGCTTCCACGGTAGAGTAATGCACGCCGAGTACAGAAGCTGTCACCGCAGGGCTGGGGGCTCAGGGCAGAGGCTTGCGAGACCCTGGCTACAGGTCCTGGCAGAAGCGCTCGGAGGGTGCACGTCAGGATCGTAGGGAGGGCTGTCGGGAAGCTCTGAAAACTACATGGATACAACTCACTTTGCTTCCCTTAAGCTTCATCGGGAAAGAAGAAAGATGGGCGGGACGGGACTCTGATTTCGTCCCTGTGTGCCACTGCCAGCCGTCGCGCTCCGCCCTTTTCTGAGCAGCACTCCTGGCCGGCCCTGGGCAGTAAGCTGCAGATAACGCTTGGAGGAACTGCTGGCTGCCCCGCCCAGGAAGGCCTCAGGAGAGTAGCACAGGTGTCCTAAGCTAGTGCATGGTTTCAGCTGTGAGTCCGGGTCCTCGCCCCTCCACCCCTGTCGGTGCTGTCGGAGCACTAGGTTTTAAGTGAGAGCGGTCGGCTCTGTCACGGGCCGGGGACATGTCCGACAGCGCCTTTTCCTGGGCCTGGCCAGCGGGCACTGCTCTGGTCCGGGGTGCTTGCAGGTTCCTGTTGGGACCGCCCACGCTGCCCGGCTGCTGCTGCTCCCCCCACCCACTGTCTGGTGCTGGCAGGACCCAGTGCCCAGGTGGTCACACTCAGTCCTCGCAGCTAAAGGACTCTTCCAAAGTTGGCTCTCACTGCAAACGCTCAGGTCTCACGTTTTGGTTTGCTTTAGAGCTTTTTCTCCTACACGGCTCCCACTGATAAATTGTTCTAGTGAGCCAAGCCGGCCTGTGAGCTCCGTTCACCTGACTTGGCCCCAGTTATCTCCAGGGCTGGCCAAGGCCCTGCCCTCAGCCTGGGGGCCTCTCAGCCCGGGAGCCCTCTGAATAGAGGGGCTGGCTGGCATCTGCTCCCAACTCCTGCAACCAGGTGACTAAAATTACCAACAGAATCAAGTGCCTTTATCCTTGGTAGTTTTCCTAGCCTCTTTCCCCCTTAAATCTCCTAACGGAAAAGTGTATCTGCCTCTCAGTGCAGCTTCGTGGCAGGCCCGGTGAGGGGACTGACCGTGCTGATCGCCCCTCCTCTTCAGAGTGCCCCTGCTATGACAGTGGGGCTGACTGAGGGCCGCCTGGGAGCCTGCTGGTTAAGGGAGGCAGGCCCTACGTGGGGGTGCCCTAGCCCCTTCAGGATGCAGGAAGGGGCAGAGGAGAGTGGAGGGCAGTGTGGCTGCCCCACTGGAGGGACCTCCCTTCTCTGCTTCCTAAAAACAAAGTATACCAACTTGAACACGGTTAGAATATTTCTTTGGTCCCTATTTTTATTATAAAGCCTACTGTATTCTTTTTTAAAATTTATTTATCCATTTATTTTAATTTGACCAGAAAGAGACACAGGGAGAGAGGGAAAGTGAGAAAGCAAGCCACCAGGTCTGGGACTCAAACCATGGTCGACCCTGTGGGAGTGTCCAGCGCCTTAACCATGCCACCTGCTGGCCCCAAGCCTACTATATTCTTAAGAATAAGGAAATTGCCACTTCAAAAGATGGTAGTTTTATCTTGGCAAGGAGTTAACTTTTTAGTACCCTACATTAGCTTATTCCAAAAGGCATTAAGCTCCATCAGAATGTCTCTGCCCCGCAGAAGGGTATGCTTTGGTTTTTGAAGTATGTAATGAGTTGGAACTGTCAGTCACTCAATAAGGAAGAAAGAAATGTCACCTTTTTCCTTTATAGCTGTGAAGAGGGAAGCCAAGAAAATTCTTTGAATTGTCCTTCCCTTTGGAAAGGCTTATCTTGAAAACACTCAACTAAAAAAAAAAAAATAACTGGAGAGTAGGAAAGATGGCAGACTTAAATATTGCAGGAGCTGTCATCTCAAAGAGGTAAGCTTTTTTCTTTTGTTGCTGGCTAAAGAAGTAAAATCTGAAGTGAATCTTCCACTTCTGGGAACTGCCTTTTGAAATGCATGAAAGCAGATTCCCTGTCAATGCCTGGCCCTGCTCCCTTGTTTTCTGTCCTGAAGGCTCCTTGCAAGGACCGCGCCCTAGGTGGGGACATGTCCTTAACGATTGGAGGACCTTGCTAGCTGAAGCAATAGCAGACGTGGCTACTGGGCCCCCTGGCCCTGGGCACAGCCGGGTGACAGACCTCCACTCGAGTGTTCCCTCCACTCTTTGCAAAATAAAAAGTTAAAAAAGCTCTCTTGGAGTTTTAAGTGAGTTCCCAGAGGGAATTCATCCCATATTTTTAATGACTAAGTTAAAAACTGGTAACCTGTCCCGTGTAAATTCAGGAAGCACTGTGATGTTAATGAGCGTGGAGACCTGGGGCGCTTTGATGTAGAGGCCATTTCCCTCAGAGTTACTGGCAGTGGGGTCACAGCAATCGCTCCCCTGAATGCTCCCCGAGAGCACCGAGCACCGCAAGGTGCTGCCCCTGGGCTTGCAAAGATGCACGATTTGGGGCCCGGAGCAACCAGTAAACGTTCCCCTCGTTAGCCGAGAGCCGCCGTGCTTTGCTGAGTGCTATTTTAGTTCTGAGCTCTCCTGTATCCTAACGTTAGGTGTGTCTGTCGTTTTCATTTTTAGACGTCTCAAAAGCAGTTTCCGCTCAATTTTAGTGAGCCGCTTATGCTGAGTCTTTAAGAAGCTTTAAGAAATAGACACACACCCAGTGCCCTTGGGGAGGCCCGGGGTAAATCTCGGTTACCTTCCACAGGGGACGTGTTGGTGGTAGGATCCGCAGGTCTGAGCCAAGCGACTGTACCGCACGTTCTCTGGAAGGTGACTCCCCGCCCTGCCTATTCGGTACCGTACTGAACCGCAGGACTCCCGGGCCCTGTGCTGCTCGTGCTTCTGTGGGGTCTGTGCTGTATTTCCACAGAGCCCTCAGATTCAGGAATAGAGCCATACGTTTGCATCTGCTGGGTGTTACATACCGTGTCCGTACTAAGCCTACAGATTTCAAAGATAATTGTGTTTTACTCACATTTACCAATTTCACTGTAACAGTGACCAATAATATGAAAAATTTGCTTCATGTAGCGTTGCTGATGGTTAGACGAAGACAAGTGTTTGTCATTCTAAAAATGTAGTCAAATATTGGAGTAACGAGGTTGTAAGCTCCAGGAGAGCAGGGACCGTGTCTCCGTCGCCCTGGCACGTGTGCACTCAATAAACACTCGTGAGTCTGAACCACCTCGTGGCATTGGCGTACTTACTCGCACGGGCCAGCTCGGGAATCTAGTCTTAGTGGCCTTGGGTCCCGGGCGTAAGTCCTCGCAGTTGCCTGTCTGGGGACAGCCTCCCAGGACAGAGAGCCGCTCTGGAGACGTGGGTGTGCTTTCAAAATCTCCCCCCACCTTTTTTTGGTTGTTGCCATAGGACATGTGTGCTCACTGGAGAGGGACAGGGACCGAGGGAAAGAGAAATCACCTCCCAGGGGGATGGCCATGCTGCAATCCCTTTGCCCCCATTCTCCTTTCAGGATTTTGGGTGCACACGTGCACCCAGCATAACAGATGGGGTACAAACTGCAGTCGTCCCGTGGGAATCCAGTGCCTTAACCACCCCACCTGTTGGCCCCTGGAAACCTTCCTTAATGGGGCTTTGGGGGCCCCTCCTGGGGGAGGGAAAGCGGAGGGGTCAGTGTGTGATGGACACCTTCACTTGCCTCCACTGAGCCGAGGAGGTATTTTCAGGGGGGTCCCACGGGGATGGCTCTCCTGGTACTTGTCTCCGGTCCTGACAGTCCCCCAAGATGCTCGGCCTTCTGCGGTTGCCCCTGCCCCTGGCGTTGCCGCTCAGACTGGGCCGCCTCTCCGGGGGAGCAGTCCACGCCCCCTTTTGCCCATATTAGGAGAGGCTCGGCGATGGTCCGCCACCCCTAGGTTTGGGGTGCGCCTCGCCTGGCTCCATGACTTCAAATCTGGCACAAGCGCATCCTTGCCGCCTTTGAAGTCTCAGCAGGTACCTCTCGGGCCATTCTGCGGCGAGCGCCCATGTGTCTGCGGACCTTTGGAGGTCAGGGCTGCAGCTTCCTGCGCGTCCTCACGGCTACTCCCACTCCGGCCAGCGCTGGCACATTTTGGCCGTTGCACTTCGGCGCCCTCGCGCGTCTCCGTCTGGCCGGCAGCAGCGCGCGGTCCGGCCCGTCCCAGGGCCAGGCCTCCCCGGCGTCCCGCGGCTCGCCCCCTGGTCTGTCCTCTGGCTCCCGAGGAACTGCATTTGTGGAAAACCCTCGCCCTTCAG